CCGTGGTAGATTTTGTAGCTGCCATTTTTAGCAACTTTGCGTAGTTTTTAACATTTGACAATAGTTCACAGAAATCGGATTTTGAGCTCAAGGTTTTCGCAAAGCTGCATTTTTTTACCATAATTAGGTTATTATATCACTTAATTAAGTACAACCAGAACTCGTGTAGCCAGTAATATTAACCTTCAGAAAGTCAAACATCCTGATTTAATACATAAAGTGGAAAATAATTCATGTACGTAACAAATCATTTGATTTAATTACATAATTAAATGTGTTTATTATTCGTATAATTTATATAAGAATGGTGCTGCAGATTTTTTTTATTTGTCATTTTTGAACACGATGCAAATGAGTTAGATGCTGGATTTTGAAGTACGAATGACACTAAATGAATAAAAAAACCAGAAATGCTTAAAGCATTCACTTTTTATTGTTGACAAACTAGCGTTTTGTCTGCAAAATACAAGGCTTTCATAAATGTTTGTACATCTAGTGACCTGTGAAATTTACAAATGGTGTAAATTTGCCACTTCGTAGTAATAGTAGACACTTTTTAAGTTTTAAATAATGTCATGTGTCAGAATAATTATGACATTTGAACTTTCGTTGCCATTATATAATTACACACTCCGAAAGAAGCGGAACAAATCCATACCCACTGGATTGTGCCACAGAACAAGACTATAAAATATGACTAATTAAAGTCATCGGTAGCTGTACCTACATATTTCTTTCATTACCTATCTGATGTTTCAGTACTTCAGAGTATGATAAGTACCTAACTGTACTTAAAATTTACAGTTTTGAGTTGTTTTAAATTAAATCTTGATCAATGTACAGGTTCTAAAGGACATTAAACAACATTTTTATGCTAAGAAATAAAAAATACAAATGTCACTTCATGAAAATAAATCCGATACTTGGATAAGACTGGGAGGGGCAACATTCTACGGTTTTGAGGGAAGGGAAGCACGGCAAATATTATTTCGTACGCTAGTTCTTTTAACTTAAAAAATGAAATTTCATGAATAGGTACTATTTTTCGAAATAGTACTATAGCTCATTCGTTTTCTGCAAAAATTTCGAAATATAATGAAATCGTAAAAAATTAAAGCGAATATTAAAAAAATATGTATGTAGGGGAGACCGGGGCTAGTTGGCGCACTTTTTACTTTAGATCTTTTATTTCCGTTTTGAAACCGTTTATGGAAGGTTTATCAGTGTTAGAAGAAAGGTGGAAGATCCAGCAACATTTAGACACTGCTAAACCACGTCTACATTTATGTAAAAATTTGTTTTGATTTTTTTTAAAACGCCTTGCAATTGCGCCAAATTACCCCATTGTCGGGGCAAGTAGGCGCATGTTAAGAGGCATGTTGGCATATGACTAAATTGATAGATAATTAAGTCACAGAAAATTTATTAATAGATAAAACAAAAACCAAGGTTTATTCTTTGGTAAAAAAAGCAAAAACAGCAAAACACAAAATTTTTTCTAATTTACTGACTGAAAATGTCAATCTTCGTCAGATGTGCAATTATGGCACACATAATGATTATCACCATCGGTGCACTTTTCATGAGCCCACATATGGCATTCAGTACACTGGATCCATTTCTCTTTTGAAGCGCTGTTAGAAAACCTATCTAAACATACAAGACAGAAAGTATCTTCTTCATCGGAATCAGTTTCCTCGTCAGCAACTATATGCTTCTTAGTGTTAACGCTTTTCATTTTTTGTTTTTTTTGAAAGACATTTCTCTTTATTCCTTTTTCTTTGGCTCCACTATTGTTTTTTTTCCTTTTGTTTTTCTGCTCTTCTTCTAATGTGTCTTTAATTGGCGTATCTGTTAATATGGCTGTTACTCGTCTTTTTCTGCTAGTACTTTTTAGCTTTTCTGGTGCTGCTTTTGGTAGCGGTCGTATATTTTCTGGTGTAGGAGGTGGGGGGGGTATTCGATGGAGATCTGCGAGATGAGGGACCAGGTTGTGGCTCGCTAAAGTTTATTTCAGTTGGATCTTCTTCAATGGTCACGTTAGCTGGAACATCTTGAACATTTTCTGGGTTCGGTCTGTCTGTGACATATCCAGGCATATACTCTTCATCTTGAAACACATGCGCATTATATGGAAAAATTCCTGTTACTGCAAATCCGGCTTTTATGTTAGCAGGAGAAGCAGCAAGAGGCAAACAAGAGTTTACAATTTCAGGAATGTCATAAATAGTCATCGTATGGCCAGGGTGATTGGTCATCCATGCATCGCAAGAAGAATTCACATATTTCTTTAACGGCCCATAAACACTTCTGTCTAATGGTTGTAGTTTATGGCTACAGTGAGGTGGAAAGGATAAAACCGTGACTCCATTTTCTTTGCAATAATTTATGGCATCTATGGACAGATGTGAGTCGTGGTTATCCAGTATAAGCAGGGAAGGCCTTTCCCTAGATGTTTTTGAATGTTTAACAAAATGTTTAACAAAAGCAAAAAAATGTTCGGCGTTCATCCAGCCTGACGGATTTGCACTTCCTGCACTGCTTGGTGGTGCATTTCTTAAAAAGTGATCTCTAAAGTGTACTCGAGGGAAAATAAAAAAAGGTGGAATAGAATTTCCCGTAGCGGAAACTGCTAAAGCCAATGTCACTAACGTTCCTCGTTCAGCCGAGACAATCTTTCCAATTTGTTTATACCCACGCCGGCCAATCACTCTGTCCGGTTTTTGCACAGTCGTTATTCCCGTCTCGTCCATGTTCCATATATCCCCGGACTCAAGCTTAAGACGATCTAGCACTGTCTTTAAATTTTCGAAAAATCGGTTAACATTTGTTCTATTAAAATTTGAAGCTCTTGCCAAGCTGGTAGCCTCTGGTTTTCTTATGCTAAGCTCCACATTTCTTTTCAAATACCCGGAGAGCCAGTCTTCTCCTGCTAATTTATTTGTTTTCCAAGATTCAGGTATTTTTATTTTTAACGCAGTTGCATATTGGAAGGCAAACTGTCGAACTTCTTTTGGAGTGAGTCCATAATAAATATCCGACGCTTTTTGCAAGTATTTTTTCAAGTTATTTTCTTGTTCTAAACTGAACACCTGTAGAAGCAGAAGAGTGGGTAGGTATGTATGTATGTATATGCCTACCTAGGTGTTTAAAAAATTTCTTACCTGTCTAACTTTTTTATAACCAGGCTGAAGAACGTGACCTAGTGTGGCTTGTTTGCAGTACCTTGTTAATGTTCTAGGAGGAATATCAAAGTCTTTTGCTACACTTCTAATTGATCGTTTCTCATTTTTGATTATTTTTACGGCTTGTGCTACAATATCCGGTGGAACATTTGCTCGTTGTGTCTTTCTTTTGTAGTTACGCATGTCTGCCAATCAAAGATGTTCACTTCAACAAGGTTTTTTAAACCTGACTATGTTTTAAACCTCCTGGGGTAACTTGGCTCAATGAGTCAACTAGCCCCTTAATGACTTAGCCAACTAATCCATGGAGTATTTACTACATTGAAGACTAATTTACAGCAACAATTGAAAAATTATTGCATACTGTATCAATGTATCACATTGAGAACACTTTGAACTACTTACCTGATTAAAATTATTTAAACAAATACCGTTAGATCTTAAAATTTAGCAACTTTTCTAAGGAAGACGAAATTTACTCACTGACTACAAACACAAAGAAGTTGCTGTGTTTTCTAACTTACCGACTCTACGATGCTATAGAGTTTTATACAGTTGGAAGCAGATGTCAGCATGACACAGTGCAATTTTAAAAGAATTCTGTTACGATGTTTTTTAATTATTGCCACCGAGTCAACTTACCCCTGTAGCCAACTAGCCCCGGTCTCCCCTACTTTTTTCTTTAAAAAACTGGTGACGTCATTTTTGTATACTTTCATTTATACTTACATACTTCACATCTATGATTTGATGCTAAGATTTCTATTAATTTCAACTATTTGAATTAAAATTTTCGGGGGTGTAATGTTGTAATAAATACATAGAAATAAGTCCTTATTCTTTTAATTCACGTGTTTTTCAAAAATTTCATTAAAAACAATATACCAAAATCTGGTGGTGCCTATATAATTTAGAAGAACCCTCAATATAAATTTTCCTAGAGGTAAATCGGAAATTTATTCTATTACAGGGCGTACTTAAAAAATACCATATGTGCTAGGAGAAATATATTTTCCAAAATATTATATTAATATAACATAGTATTATATTCGATTAATATCAAGAAAAGAGTAATGAGGTAACTACAAGGCGAGTAATTAAGAATATTTTTCTAATTACATATTATATCAGAATGTCATCCTTTTTAGTTTTTAAAAATTAAGTTATAAATCGTGTTAAACTTTAAACTGAATACCACGACAAAAAGTAGTGAATTGCCGACTGAGATTTTGTCTATCTTCTTAGAATGTTATAAACAATATTCTGTGTTATTACAGCTTTACAGTTTGCTTCAGTAGGGAAAAAGCACTACCTACATATCTGATCACGTAACATATTATTATTGTTTAACATTACAAAATTCCCACACACTCAAAGTACTAATGATCTTTACAGTGTTACCGTAAAATAGATATCTCTTTGTTACTGAATGTACAGCTTTTAACACTACACGCTAGAAGACAATCTATTTAATTTAAAATGCAAATGTTTTAACGCTTTAACTCATCAAGATAATGCATTGTATAAGTTCTATTTTGAAATTCCTTCTTCGCTAATAATGTAACACGTTATCACACATGAACATGAAGTGCGAACCGAAATAAATTTCATACCTACATTTGCATATTCTCGCTTTCTGATTTCGTGCCTATATACAATAACTTGAACATATTTCGAAACCGTCTCGAATGTAAAATTAACTTTAAGTCCATTCATTGTCAACATACACATTTGAGACGCAAATCATAAACGGTTACATAATGTGTAGATCAATAGTTGTTATTGCAATCAATTTTCATTTTTTATTTTTTCAAGTTGATCATCGGGAACTTCGGTTTAAGTTATGAACAAAGCAAGACACAAATGGCCATCTGGGCCATTCTAGCCGCACCTCTCCTTATGTCAGTGGACTTGAGATCAATCAGGCCAGAGTACAAAGCTATCTTGCAAAATAAGAAAATAATAGCAGTCGACCAAGATCCGTTGGGCATTCAAGGAAGGCGTATATACAAGGTGAACAACAAACCAATTAATTCCGCTGTCTAACTGTAAATCATTTCGAAATACGGTTTTCAGCATAAAGGCATCGAAATTTGGTCGCGGCCGATCACGCCACTATATCAGAACTACTTTTCGTATGCTATAGCGTTCTTGAACAGGAGAACCGATGGAACGCCTTCAGATGTTGCAGTCACACTCAAAGAATTGGGTCTGACATCTCCTACCGGATACCGAGTGGAGGTAAGTGCAATATAAACAAGGTTAAGAATGTTTACTTGGTGTTTTTTGCATTCTTAGTAACACTGCAAACTTTGTTTATGCTAATAAGGCAGTGAGAATACTTAAGGTTACAAAAAACAATAGTTGTGACATCCAGCATACGAAACAAATACATAAGCTTCAGGGGTCAACTGCCACAAAGGTGAACTGTTTTTGTGAGCAAAAATCGGTGTCATAAGCCATGTTATGTAAAGTGTTAACCATACACTACTGATTAAGCGAGAAAGTTGACAGCAATTTCCTGCAATTATGCTGCAATTACAGTAAAAATGTGTTTTTCAGGATTTGTATGAAGACGTAGACTACGGAGTTTTGTCGCCACAAACCAAGATCAAAGTGAAAGTCAACCCATCAGGTACTTATTGTTAAAAACCCGTTTGCCATTTAAAATCACTTAATATTTCTAGGTGTCGTAATTTTGCGGGCAGATGTACAATCTGACTATAAGCGAAGAGTTCCATATTTCACCACGCAGCGAACAGTTTACAACCCACTCAACCAAGTGTTTAGAATACGAAGCAACGGATTTTAACCAATTTAATGTAAATACGACAATTTAAATTATATTTTAGGTACTGTAGGTACAGGTTTTTTATTATGCATTTTTTTTAATTTAATTTAAAAATAAAATGTAAAAAACGAATACATTTCGTTAGTCTAAAGTGTAGTAATATTTATTGTAGCCTATAGTCACAGTCACTGCTAAACCTCTTAGATTCTTTCGTAGTCTTGAACATGTTAAGCATCCCTTGATTTCTTCACCTGAAAAAGAAAACTGTAATGTACTGGACGTTAGTAAAAAGTGTGATAGATATCAACCACCATGTTTGCAATCAGTCTTTCAAGACAATGTGTTTTTTAAGAAGGATTTTGAAATCTACTTTCAAGACCGTTCCGACAGACAATGAGTTAGCGTAATTACACCTTAAGAACCAATTTAATGGTGGTTTACATTTTCTAAAATACTCGAAGTGTTATTATTGACAGGGCATGAATTTTACATTTAACGAATTGCTTTTGACTTTTTAGTACGCCGAAAGACTTCGTAACCTTTCGTTCCATCTTTTATAATAGGAAAGTACAAACAGTGCGGTTAACATTTCACAAAAGATATTAAATGTCAAGTATTATTATACGTTCTAATATACCAAAATTGCTTTAACAAAGGCTAAATATGGTATTATTGTTTCTAAAAGCTAAAATTGAAAGGAACCATTTCATAAGAAGTCATTATTTTATGCTAGGTTTGCATGACAGGCTACAATACTAGATGTATGAACCACTTACACGGGGCCGTGTGAAAGATTTACACAAAAAGAAAATTACGTGGTATATTACTACAAAAAACACCCTACATGTATGTATATTAAAAGAGTTTTATACAGCCCGTAACTGTATCCTTTGTTTTATTAATTTACAAGTGTAAGAATATTGGTGATGACAACACAGCCACGATTTCATGACTGCTGTTAAGAAAAAGTTTTTCCATTAACCACAAAATCAGAAGAAACGATTTATATTTCTATTAAAACTTGAAGCCATGCACTTCTGTTTCCCTAACTTGTCGTTTACTCTAAAAGTCAATTGGACTATAATTGCATTTTCCTAAAAGGTAAGTGTCTTACAGGTATAACCTGTTTCCTTTATGATGATGTAATAATTGTTAAGTTTAAGTCAGTAACTTTGACTTAAATTTTATTTAAAAAATATGTATGTATATATATATAGAAGAAACATATCTCAGAACGACAACATAAAACGAAAAAGTCAGCTTTCTGGCATTTGAAACAATATTTTGCTTATTGTTAGTTATGAAATATTTGTACTTAGTACGTTTTCATACTTTTAACCGTATATATAAGAGAAAAGCGATTCTCACACTTTAAAACTTTTCGTTTCAAAATATGCACCCAGTATTAGTAGATCGGCAGTGTTGGTAAATACAGCTGTAAGAGTCCAACGTTTATTGCTCCTGTGAGATGGAGAATTCCAAACAAATATTGGAATAAGGCTTTTTATCTGCATATATTTCGCTTCATTTTAAAATCGGAAAAGAAAAAAATCAGAATGCTAACAATAGCAATTGATCTCCTTATCGACATTATGCTGCACTTCAATTTAAATAGCAATGATGCAAAATAAACTCATCCTTAGAACCAAGCCTTTGAAATCGATTGAAGCAAAAACGTGTAAACTCCTTTTTCTATAAGTTATTTTTAAAGTAGACCAAATGTTAGGAGTGGCTAACTCAAAATAATGACCTTTTTTTAAAATGTTTTTTCACGTTTAACTGTTTTTTTTATCAATTTCACAAAATTAATTATCCACTTTATTTAACAGCATTATTATAGATTTCATACTACTTATCCACTTAAAACCATGACTTCCTTTAGTGTTATTAAAGAATTGAAACGTCCGAGAAAAATTTGTTCACTGCGCCAATACTTCGTGATAATTATATAAAAGTCAATTTCATCCATAAACGGGAACAGTAGTACGAAGATTTAGTCACGTAGAACCTTTCTATTCCCGTAAGCCACGTTTTTTTTTTGTAATAATTACACGTCGCACCCTTTCAAATTTGAAATTATTAAAACTTTACGTTCATGGCAACTCCTGACTATTTCGAAAACATACAATGTCTGTATTTGCAGTGTTCGTTGTATCTTCTCTTTTCCATCCGTGAGGTTATATCTCTTTGTACATTTCTAATTAACAATTAATATCAAATGTTACTTTCCGTGATCGGAATCTGTACTTTGCAAAAGATTTATTTTACACTAATTTTTGCTTTCCTTCCAAAGAAAAATGTTTGGTCGCCTAAATTAAAAAAAAATAGGTTATTCAAACTTATATAATAATAATAATGATGATGATGATTTAACGGCGAAATCTGTTATAATTTTATTAAAAAAAAAAGAAAAGAAATCTTCTAATTCGGTATAGGATCAATTGCATAAAGATAAAATTTGAAGCGTATACTTTAATAAAGAAAGGAACATTTCTATGTTTTATTTCGGCACATATACACTCTAAGTCATATTAAGAAGCGAATTTTTCAAGTTTTATTTACCTAGTTATCATAACAACAGCCACTTAGAATTTTATTGCTAATTTGAAATGATAATTTTTGTTTGGCAAAAGTAATTAGTTTATAAGCAAAAAACAGCCATGGTCATATTCTTTGTTATTCAAATTTAATGTTAGAAGCAATTTTGCGTCTTGTAAATATTTTTCTAAATAAATTAAGGATTCAGAGTTCCGAGTATACGAAACTAAAGAATACACTGGGTTTAGTTTTTTAACATGGGATTTTATATATAAAAACAGAAGTTTGAAAATATTGGCTTCCCTAATTACACTAATTTACAAATTTTAGTCAAATTTGTCCCCAGAAACGATAATCAAATTTCTTCATGTTTTTGACCTCCTGAATACATAATTCATTAAACAAAAAATTTCATCACGTCTAGTTTCCGAGAAAAAAATTATTGGTCGAAAGTTGTTTCGACAGAACTTCCCTCGCTCCTGAAGTACAACGAAACATATCCAGCATTTTCGAATGGGCGTCCGTCATCGTTTCTCTATAATAGTGAACTTTTCTACCTGCGATGGGTACCTGTCCCTGTTTAGATTAGCGCCTAATAATAACCAGTTCACTAAAGTTTATGTTTCCATGTTTGAGATTTAAAAAAATTAATTTAAAAATCACCTCCTTCTGAAGTGTGCATGTTACGCTACTGATTGACAGTCCGTTGTCAGATTCTGATGACTCACCATGTTGAACTTAAAATAATCCATCTCCAATAACCTTTATACATCGAAAGAGTGCCGGGATCCGTAAACGGGACTTCCAATTGCAATGCACACTCCACCCCCACTGAGCAAACGGCCACGCTTGCGTGCCACGTATTGATTATGTTTATCGTATGAATGATGTTTAAACAATAACAATTATAATAATAAAAATAAAAAAAAAACAAGTGTGGGAATATAATATTTTATGCAATTCAAGTTCCATTTATTGGAGAAAATTTTGAAGGGATGTCATCACGTTGGTGGGGATAATTAAAGACATTTTGGTTAACGTTTTACAATCTACATGATAACTTTAAAACATCTTCAAGATTTCAACCCATTCGATTTTGCAGTTCCTGAATAAATCAATAAAATAAATTCACGCATTTATTAATTTTTTGAGACACCCCGTATAAGCAAATCTAAAAAATATTAATGGAATGGTAAATCACAAGTGTACACTCATCATATTTTGGACATTTTAGATAGGATTTATTCGGCAAAATTTTGAGATGACATCAATTTTTTAGGGAGGATGAGCAAATACATTTTGATTAAAAATTTCACATGCTTATCATAACTGTAAACCATGTGCAAGATTTCAAAGCACTCAGTTTTGCAGATATAAAATTAAATTGCAAAACGTTGTTTCATAATTTTGATTTGTTTTCCAAAAATCTGGACGTTTCAGGGTTTTATACAATTTAAAATCCATTTACTATATACAATTTTGAAGTTACATCATCACATTATTGGTGGGGATGATTAGACAAATTTTGGTCAGCGTTTTACCATCTACATATTCCTAATATAAATACAAAATTTGACAACAATCGGCCCAGTACTTTCGGAGATTGTCTGTCTAATAAAAACCGGGACGGCAGACAGACGGAAACAGGAGACCTATTTCTTGGTACTGTAAGGGTCATGAAAGGTCGAGAAAACGTAAAAGTAGAGTCGGTCGACGGACTCGCTTACGCTCGGGAAATAAAAAGGTACAGCTACTGTACTAGCACTGATTTTTTTCTTTAATTATGTTGGATATTTTAATTCTCTACAATTTTCGTGTTTAATGTTTGTTTTTCTCTAAAATAATAATTAGCGGAGCCAAGATTTTCAAATTTCTATTTTTACATGTAAAATCCCTATACTCAAAAAACGATTCTATACCCAGTATGTTGGTGGTAGTATCCAATACCAAATAATTTACCTCCTGCAGTTACAGAAACCTGTATATGTTAAAGAAGTTAACGTTGACTTATTAAGCTATTTTATGCATAAAAATAATAAACGTCACGTTTTAAGAAATTTTAAGAATCAAAACTCCAGTTTTTAAGACACTGATGAAGCAATACGCGAAAGATACTTACCAGTTTTCATTTCAATAGGCTCCCGCAGATAAAAAACAGTCTGCTGCCAGTGTGTCTTAGGAGCTTGTGGTCCAGTAGAAAATTGAACACTAGTTGGTAAATCAAAAAATGTATCAAAATAGCCAACTACGGCCGTCAACAACCCGTCTTTGGTTGCTTTTAGTATAAAATCAGAGCTAAAGTCACATGTAGTAACAGTGCAAGTTTTCAAATCAACCTCGCTAAGAACTACTGGATTTGTGATTATGCTTGTTTCGGGTACTGTTTCTATAAATGCTTCAGTAAGTACTTCTCTTTTCATACATTTCATTGAAAAACCATAAACATCATCCCAAAAATTAATCAGTTTGTTATAGCGTTCTAAAATGGGATAGTTGTGTTATAATTAATTATAAAGTAAAAAAGTAAGTACCTGTGTCTGCGCAACCAACCAAATACAGAACACATTTGTTTGGTAAGATTAATCCTCCAGGACTTAAATAATGGTCCCTTGCATAGACAAAACTATCTAACATGCCTTCAAAGAGTAAGAAATATCCCATCCATTCAGACACAATTATATCAACTTTTTCTACAGGTAAATTTGTGTCTTCAATTCTACCCTTTATTAAATGGATTGTCTCATAATAATTATTCTCTCTGAAATAAGAAAACGTTAACATATAAAAGTAAATCTAAAACATACAAGAACCTTGTAATATCCATTGCTTTATATACAACTTCTGATTGATCAATTCCATAAATTTTGGAAGCCCCAGCTTTAGCTGAGAACATAGAAAGTATACCTGTGCCACAACCCACATCTAAAATAATTTTCCCTTTAAATAAATCTTCATTTTTGAGTATAGCATCCCTGTAACTTTCAGTTCTCACTGTATCCTAAAATGGTGGAACTAACATTTTGTTACATTATTAATTAAATCTACATACATTCAACATATCATGATGGATAGCAAAATGTGAATATGAATTGAAATAGTCACTATCACAGCCCAGAGGTAGATGACCCACAATTGAAGGTAATGAATTTTTTATTGCTGCATCCCCACCTTCTACTATAGTTCTGGTCACTTCTTTCATTTTCCCAATATCTTTTATAGCATTTTCTAACAAACTTTCTTTGTGCTTTAACTAAAAAACCGCATTTATATTAAGAAATTGTCAAATATTTTGAAATATGTACTTGTAAAGTTAATTCTTGGATTTGTCGTTGCAAATCTGAAAAATTCAGATTACTGATAGGGGTCTTGCCGTCAATAGCGTAATGTGGGGTAGATGGAGCACTTCCCAAATCATCAAAATCTAAACAAAATTGTGATAGATGCACAAACACCATTAAAAATTAATCAAAATCATACCATACATCAACCAAGATTCCATGTCTCCAGTCTTCAGATAGGCATCATCATCCCACAAAGCAACAGACGACTCTGTTAAAATTTTAGGATCTGGTTTTTGCATTCGAATATAATTGATCATCTTAATGTACGAATAACAATCCATATTATATTTATTTTTCAGTTCGAGGAGATCAAAGTTGTGCTCAGTTCGGCAGTGATCTAAGGCTACGGCTATAGTAAGAAACTGCAGAGGACAAAAAAGACATGTGGTTTGCTCTCCCGTGACTTCCATCTCATCCCATTCATCAGAATCTTCATTGTCGTTATAGCCATGAGGAGGTGCGAGATTATCTTCTAAAGGTGGTACTGTTTTGAGCTAAGTTGGTCACTGACCTGCATCATAATACTTACGGTCGTCGTCATCCATGTTTTTCTCTTTGTTAAAAATGCTTCAACTTCGTTTACAAACAAAAACACGTGCTATTTTAGAAAATTAGGTTATAACTTCGCATTAGATACTTTTACTATAAATTTCTCACAACTATTTATCACAATTTGTTCATCTTAGATCAGTCTACGAAAATAATGCTTTAAACTGTTTTTAATGATTGTAAATTGAAATTATTGATTAAATCGGCGAAGAGCAAACCACAACTGCGCCTTCTTTGACAGTTGACATCACGTTGACATCAAACTGGAACCAAATATCCCAGAAACGTTTCGAGGTTATGTCTCAAACACGTGTTTAGAAGTAAACAAATTTCTCTCAAAAAATTATTTGAAGGAGTTTCAAACAATTCCCACGTCAAATGGCACGCCAGGGTATGTATGACAAAAACTTTAATTTATATTTTAAAATTAACAATTCCACATGCCTGTACAGTTCGTAAGACGATTTACGTACCTCAACTGTCCACTAAGGAAAAATTAAAATTAATAAAAAAAGATAAGAAACAGAAACTTAAGCAAAAACGAGCACGTTTGATTGTGCGTAATTTACCATTTGAAGCAAATGAAGAAACTTTGAGAAAGCACTTTGAAAAATTTGGAGAATTAGAAGATGTGAAAATCCTGAAGAAGGAAGACGGCAAGTTAGTAGGTTGCGGTTTTATTCAGTATAAGCTGGTTCAGAAAGCAGCCAAGGCCCGGCATCATTTAAATGGCAAGCCATTCATGGGTCGTACAATAAATGTTGATTTTGCTTTAAGTAGGGAAAAGTTTGAAAATGCACAAAAAGTTAAAATTAAACAAGAAAATAAGGTAAAAATTAAAGAGGAGTTAGTTTATGCTGATGAGATCCAAGAAGCTGTGATTGAAATTAAAAGTAAAAGTGAAGATATTAAAGGTGACAAAGGTGAAGAAGACACAGAAATATCTGATGAAGAGGGTGAGTCTGAAGACAAGGATATTGAAGAATCAGACGAGGAGGAGGAAGAAGAAGAAAGCAGTGATGAACCTTCTGTAAAGAAACCTAAATTTGAATCAAATGATGTGGTTGAAGGAAGAACTGTGTTTATTAAAAATGTACCATTTTCAGCTACAAATGATGATTTAAAAGAATGTATGAAACAGTTTGGGCCAATTTATTATGCTCTTATTTGTGTTGACAAGTTTACAGAACATTCAAAGGGCACTGCTTTTGTCAAGTTTTGTAATGCAGAAGATGCTGAAAAAGCATTAACTGCTGGAACTGAGTTAACTTTATTAGGGAACGTTTTAGACTGCCAGCGTTCATTAGCAGGGAATGAAGTAAGAGAAAAAACTTCAGCTAAAAAACAAGATAAGACTGTTACAAAGGATTCGCGCAATCTTTACTTAGTCAAAGAAGGAGGTAAGTAATTTATCAAATAAATATTAGAATTATGCTAACAAATATTATTTTAGTGATTTTGGTTGGTAGTCAAGCAGCAGAAAAGGTATCAGCTAGTGACATGGCAAAACGTTTACAGTTAGAACAGTACAAAACTCAAATGTTGAGAAACTTGAACATGTTTGTGTCACGAGAACGCTTAATAGTTCATAATTTACCAGCGAGTTGGGATGACAATAAATTAAGAGATCTAATTAAAAATAATAGTCCAAAAAATTCCTTTATTAAAGAGGCGCGAGTAATGAGGGATATGAGAACCGTGGATGCCTCTGGAGTTGGTAAATCAAAAGAATTTGGTTTTGTAACATTCGCAAAGCATGAAGACGCGATTGCAACGTTAAGAGCTCTCAATAATAATCCATACATATTTTCTGCACATAGAAGGCCTATTGTTGCCTTTTCTATAGAAAACCGAGCAATGGTAAAAGCCAAACAAAAGCGCTTGGAAAAGTCGAGATTGAATAATCCTAAATGTAAAAATTTTGATATAAATGTGAAAAAAACACATGATGAAAAGAAACAGAAAAGGTAGAATGTTAACAAAACTACAATCTACTGGACGTCAGAATCAGAACCTCTGATCATTCTGTGCTGTGTGGGTACCGTGCGCAATACAGTTATAATTGAAACGATCATAGCGCAAGCCCTGTTGCCGTTAAGTACCTTGATCATAGTTGCCACATCACCAACAAATTTTTTTTATCGCATCCCGAGTCCCAGAATGACAGGTATCTTTACGAACTTTTATGATAAATTGATGTAAAACTGAAGATACTAGGGAGTACAACTTTTTTTTTTCATTTTTGTTCACATCAAGGCCTCAGCTGTTGTTTATCAAAAATAATTATATCTCATAAAATTATAACTAATTGATTTATATGTCCATCGGTACGCGTTGTATAGACTGTATTAAAATTAATTAAATTTATTTACTTTTTGTTAATCATTTCATCACTGAAATTTTTGTTTTCAATAATTGAGGTTTCACCTAATCACATAGAGAAGCATTTAAAGTGTACGGATATAATAGGACTACAACAAAAAAAATGCAAGGGATTGTGCAAATTGCACGGACAATGTAAAATATATTTAAAGTTTAAAGCACTTAACCAACGAGAAAAAATGGCCTACCAGCAGTAATAACAAGCTTTCTTCCGATATTTAAACAAGCACTTGAAATTGCTTGTTTATACATCGGAAGAATGTCACGTGAGAAATTTGATTTGATATGAATGAGTTTCGCCTCAAAACAGGGCACTAATATTTTTGATTTTGAGCCACAGTTGAACAGAATATTTATTTTAACTTATAGGGGTTCTTAAAAAATAAAATTCGCAAAATCAAATTTTATAACTTTTCAAAAAAGCCCCTGAAGTACAATAATAAAACATATTGTACTTCAGGGGCGAGAGAATAATAACGAGAGAGGGGAAAAAATAGATAATAAAATTCCTTCAGTTAACTTATTAATCACAAAAATGTTTTTTATTATATCTTGTTTATCTTATTTACGAAATAAGAATTTTAATTAAAGATAGAAACATTGTTAAAATGCAGACCCTAGAGCACGTATTAATGTGGAAACAAAAATTATATTATCAAGAATCGACAAATTGTGTAAAATTTAATTCCATACGAGTTCATCCTGACACACTATACCAGATTGGCGTTTAAATAAAGAAAAGAAAAACATGTGTTAAAGAAGCAATAATAGATGAAGTAAAATAAAAAGAATTCGATAATATTTATTATGACAGAAATTCTTGTTCAATATTCTTATTCAGTTATCAATTCTTGTATACATGAAAAGAAATGGATCACTTAGAAATTTTAAAAACCTAAGATCTACGTCATTCTAAAAATAGAGGTTAAAATGAGGCTGTATTGTTGCCGCGCAGCAAAGGCCTCTTGCACCCCACCGGCCAGTCGTTTCGTCGACCGGTGAAAAAAAAAACAGCGAACTGTATTTTACATCTAGGTAGTTTAATGAAATATTTAAAACAGACTGAGAACAGAATCAAACACTAAATAATATATAATTTAAATATTCTTGGGAAAAAAATTGAAAAAAAAGTCATTTGAAAAAATTTTTCAACATGCGCACATTAGGAAAAGAGTGCATAAAAATAAAATAAAATACTTACAAAATATTTTATGTAACAAGACGTCAAAAAAAAATTATAAAATAAAAATAAGACAAAATTACCGATTAAAATAGCCTTCGTGAAACATAAAAAAAATGTTAAAAAAAACAACACCCAATTTAAATTTATAATGCAAAATTCTAACCTTTAGGCTTCTTCTTCTGCTACAATTTAGCGAATTCCCTCATCTTCATTTACGAACCCACTGCAACAAAAAACAGATGAAATTTTTGTGTAAACAAAGAAAAATGCTATAGAAGTTAATGTCAGCTTTATACATAAGTACTTATTTTTAATAATGGTACAATTCGACATTACACAGGTTTAATAAGTAGATAAGATTTAAAAATACTAATCAGAAAAAGTTTTGAAATCAAAATATAAATTCTAAGCAAAATTTTACATTTATGTCACGCGATTCTTGGTGAAGATGAACAGATAAAAATCTATTTAACAGACTCAAAATACACCCAAAAAAAGAGCTTCCGAGAATATTGCCTAAAAATTCGCTAACAAACAAATAGACGGAAACGGAAACTCGATATTTTCACTCCATAAACTAATTGAAACAAACATATTATTTATTAGGTCGTTAAGTAACTATTTGTACAATACAGCTACTTTTCCCTTAACATCCGTATTTTTATATCAATTTAGAATTAAAAAAAAAAACAAGAAATAACGCACAATACATTGAATAGTAGACCGATATATATAAGGCCTAATAGCAATTACCCTTTAAATCCTGATTTCCTTTCCTTCTGTGCCGATCCTTGGAGATTCCTTCCTCATGGGAACATCACAACACTCAACTTTCACTTTAAGTCCGAAGCCAAATTATTTTTAACAAAAATAAACCACTTAAACTAATGTACACACGGCATACGCCTTCAACAAAGTTAAAACCGACTGCGACTGAACTCCTTTGATGCGTAACACGAAAAATGAACAAAAAATTCTCGCCGATATCATATCAGACATTTTTTTGCCGAGTTTTTATTCACCGATGCATCGCACAGTGAATGAATCTTAATTAAAATACTGCAACATAATATAATTTTTGGCGCTGTGTGGATGAATAAGAAATTACGAATTTTACCTACAATTTGCCAAAAATAAATTAGAAAACTCGATTTAAATACGTCCTTTGAAAATATTTTATTTTTCGACAGTTAATAACACACAACAAAGAATTCAAATTGTTTCACCATTTGTGCCAAAATACTCATGTAAAATAGATTCATGCGGGGTGTTCCAACGGTCAAAGGGCGGAAAATTAAACACTCTAGGAAAAATTCTTCAAGGCAATCTGATGGAGTATTAATTTAAAAGTATTTTCAAATACATAGAGTGTTCGGTGTCACTTATACAAAAAAGCTGTATGTTTACTTTCGGAGCGTAAACGATAAATACAAATGACTCCAATTATTATGAGTATTGCCGTTGTAAAATCTCCAGTCGCTTTTGAAGCTGTACCCTGTATAAAGCTGTGATAACCCAAACTTCCCGCCTTAAAAATTGACCTTGAAACAGTTTGAAAGGCCCGCGAAAAATTCAAAAATTCAAAGTTTGGCCTTGGCTGTGATCGTCTAACAAATGAGAACCTACGTTGTGTGTTTTTTTTTTGTTTTTAAAAAAATGGCGGGAAGAAGTTCTTTCATACAAGTGCATACACGGTCGAGAGCGCAAGGAATAATAGACAAATTTAGGTTGGTCAAAAGCCTTCCTAAGGAGGAAAAAGAAACGAAGAACGACAGACGCTCGAATTGCCCTTCTGGCGAGTCCGCAGGGCCAAGGTGTCATCGGTCTTCGCTCCCCAAAACCCCCTGGGGTTTTATTCACCGACATATTACATGTCAAACACCTTAAGATATGTGAAAGAAAACACTCGCGAATTGACAGACATACACATATGAAAACCGAACAAACACAAGACCTACACATATGTAAGTTGGATGGCAGAACCCGAATCATTATGAGAGTGTGGCGATCGAACAAAACATAGAACAAAATATATCAATTTCATTTACGAGCACAGCAAAATACCCAGAGGGGGCGTTGTAGCGCAAGTAGAGGTTGGGACTCCTGATCGTCACTGTTCTCCCTCACGACGGTGATTCTATCTACACCAACGCCTGCTCACACGCATCTCTCCATTACGAACGTGCCCTGCGAAACGAGGCGGTTACGATCGCAGATCCGTAGTGGGGTCCCGGCTATGGACAGAAGCCGACAGCGTTAAAAACCCGCGATCGCCCCCTGAAGCTATACAACACCCGCGGACTTGTGCAGGTGACGCGATTAATCCCGTCAGTTTGAGAAGGAGTCGCGCGCCCCACGTACACTACGAGTTATGTGTTATTTACCTTAATTTCATTTAAATGTTCAATCTCTATGACTCTAATATTAAATTACAACCGAACAAGTGTTAAAGTTTCAACCAAGAGCAATAAACAACTTTTAAATTCGCCATACACTCTTTCGAAAATTCAACAACAAATAATTCTTAATTGAGATTAAATTTGGACATCAGATAATTTGCAGGACAGAGACATTCATCAACAAAATATTTATAAAATCAAAACTTAGCAAAGATTTATAAAAACAAGATCTGGTGTGAAATAAGCTTGTACAAATTAAATATCATGTTAGGTCAGAACTGCAGAGCATGGAAATTTACGTTCACTTCAAATTATACAGCAAAGAAAATTACTGAAGCTAAAATTATGAGACAAAGACAAATTGCATGAGGTGAAAGATTGTAAAGTTAACAGATTTACCTGTGATTAATATTAATTCGTGTCCAGTCAAGTTATTGGTTAAAATTCAAAACGTGAAATTATTTAGCTGCATTGTGGGCCATTATTACACATACATTTCCCCAAACAAAACACATAAACAAACATGGCAGACAAGCGCAGTTGCAAAATGGCGTTGGACGAATTCGTCATTCCAAATAATAGGCGTCGAAAATATGCGATGCAAAAATACGATGAATCCTGTGGCGTTGTATAAACGATGTGCTAAATCCAAAGAATAAAGGCACGTCCCCCCATGACCCACAATGTTGTTATTTTGTTCAATAGATTCAGTTAAAACATGTGCTCGATTAAAAGAAACAAATGGACGCTTCAAAATGGCCGCTGCCTGAACAAAGAACGGTGAGAATAACAACTCGTTTGCCGCCATCCAAAATACAGATTTCACAAATATAGCTAAATAAAGCATGGCCCGAACTAGAAATCACTTCCTGTAAAGCCCTACTGCGATGGATTTTAAATGAAAGATAAAAAAACGAGATTAGTGGAAAAAAGCGCACGCGTCGCTGAGTCACGAGGTCAGAAGCACCGGCGGGGCTTGAAACTCGCCGCGAAACAGGTCCCAGTCGAAAACGTGTTCAAAACATACCTCTCCAAAGATGCGAAGATTTCGACACGGCTTACCGCCAAAAGGAACGCAAAAACCTCGTCGTAAGAACGATGAGAAATCAGGAACACCCAATGGCTCAACGGGGGCTGCTAGGTTTTCCAATGGAACAGATCAACACTGGAAACGCAAAAACAACAGCAAAAGGCACAGAATAACTCACAGATAAAAATACAACCTGTTGCTCGAAGCGCTCGAAGGAAGTCGACCGTTTGTTCGAAGCGATCAGAGGCATAGAAAACCCTACAACCCTAGTGAGGGTTTTCTATGATCAGAGGGAAGTGGTCGATTTTACACGAGACAAAACCACCCTAACATTTGCGCATGCCTCTCTTTCTTGGTGTGGTTGATTGCCAACCTTCTCTTCTTCTTCTTACCAACCGTTTCTTGTGCGCGCGAAATTCATTTGAAATTTAAAAATTCGAATTGGATCCTTACAAAGCTGATAATCAAAATTAGTCGCTACCCTTGTACCTATTTATCCTGGACCGTATTTGTTCTCAGGGATTTGTTCTCTTGTTCTCTAGTAAATGCATTCCTAATGCGTAATAGTTTTATTGCAGATTGCGGTCGAAAGTACTAAATACTCGTCGTAAAATAATTTATCTTTGGTCGTACAATACCATATTTTGATTTTGATCGTATTGATTTTTTTTTTTTTGTATGTGATGTGGGGTTTCGTCCACATTTTGCTCCACCAATCAAGTGAAAACATTGTAATATTTGTCCGCACTGAAATTTAAGTTGGCAACAATGAATCTTTTAAAGCAAGCTGCACATTCGATTGGTGGATTTCGTGGCTCCAAATTTAAAATGTGGGAAATTGTGCCCAGATACTCCGTCTACAGTTAACATTTAACATTCACAGTGTGACTCTTCTGACTTATACTTTTGAATTAATTAATTTTAACTACTTGTTTTTATTTATTACAGTGAATGTCATTAACAGACGGACATCTACATTTGACATCTTGCAACATTTTGAGGTTATGTGCTATGTTTCATTGATCTTGGTTTCATTGGCTATGTTTGCAACACGTGTGTAAAAATAAACAAATTTCTCTTATAAAAATTACTTGAAGGTGTTTAAACTTGTAGCACACATATTTCAATTCCCACACAAATGGCGCGCCAAGGTATGTATAACAAAAACTGTATAAAATTAACTATATCACATCACTTAACAGTTCGTAAGAAAATCAATGAACCCCAGCTGTCCACTAAGGAAAAATTAAAGTTAATCAAGAAAGAAAAGAAACAAAAACTTAAACAGAAACGAGCACGTTTGATTGTGCGTAATTTACCATTTGAAGCAACTGAGGAAACATTGAGGGAACACTTTGAAAAGTTTGGAGAGTTAGAAGATGTGAAAATCCTGAAGAAGGAAGACGGCAAGTTAGTAGGTTGCGGTTTTATTCAGTATAAGCTGGTTCAGAAAGCAGCCAAGGCCCGGCATCATTTACACGGCAAGCCATTCTTGGATCGTGAAATAAATGTTGATTTTGCTTTGGGCAAAGACAAGTTTAAAAATAAACAAAACGTTAAAATTAAACAAGAAGATGAGGTTAAAATTAAAGAGGAGCCAGTTGATCCTCCTGAGATCCAAGAAACTGTGGATGAAATAAAAAATGAAAGTGAAGGAAATGAAGACATTAAAGCTGATAAAACTGAAGAGAACACAGTAATATCTGATGAAGAAAATGAGTCTGAAGAAGGTGAGGATATTGAAGAGTCAGATCAAGAAGAAGTACAGGAAGAAGAAGAAGACATTGATGAACCACCAGTAAAGAAACCCAAATTTGAATCAAATGATGTGGTTGAAGGCAGAACTGTGTTTATAAAAAATGTACCCTTTTCAGCCACAAATGATGATTTAAAAGAATGTATGAAACAGTTTGGGCCCATTTATTATGCACTTATTTGCGTTGACAAGTTTACAGAGCATTCAAAGGGCACTGCCTTTGTTAAATTTTGTAATGTAGAAGATGCTGAAAAAGCATTAGCTGCTGGAACTGAGTTAACTTTGTTAGGGAACATCCTAGACTGTCAACGGGCATTGGCAAGGAATGAAGTAAGGGAAAAAAATTCAGCTAAAAAACAAGATAAGACTGTTATAAAAGATTCGCGCAATCTTTACTTAGTCAAAGAAGGAGGTAAGTAATTATCAAATAGGTATTAGAATTATGCTAACAAAAATTATTTTAGTGATTTTGGCGGGTAGTAAAGCAGCAGAAGGTGTGTCAGCTAGTGATATGGCAAAACGTTTACAGTTAGAACAATACAAAACTCAGATGTTGAGGAATTTGAACATGTTTGTGTCACAAGAACGCTTAGTAGTTCATAATTTACCAGCAAGTTGGGATGACAATAAATTAAGAGATTTAATTAAAAATAATAGTCCAAAAAATTCGTTTATCAAAGAGGCGCGAATAATGAGAGACATGAGAAACATGGATGCCTCTGGAGTTGGCAAATCAAAGGAATTTGGTTTTGTAACATTTGCAAGACATGAAGACGCAATTGCAGCATTGAGAAGTCTTAATAATAATCCAAAAATATTTTCTGCACACAGAAGGCCTATTGTTGCCTTTTCTATAGAAAACCGATCAATGCTTAAAGCTAAACAAAAACGCTTGGAAAAGTCGAGATTGAAGAATCCAAAATGTAAAGATTTCGATCCAAATGTAAAAAAGACAGATGAAGAAAAGAAACGGAAAAGGGAGAACACTGCAAACCTTGAAGAAGAAAGAAACTTTGTTGGTGTTGCTGCTAAACCGGGCGTGCAGAAAATGAGGAGTAGATATAATTTAAAAACGCAAGCGAAGCTACACCACGAAAATCTGAAAAAAGAAAAGAAAAAGAACAAATTTGCTAAGAAGACATTAAAAGAGAAAAAACAAGATTTCACCAAACAGCCAAAACAAAAAATGAATAATAAGAAAGAAGCTAACGACCAATTTGCCAAGTTAGTTTCAAGTTATAAGAAAAAACTTTTAACGGTTGTACCAGAGGTCAAGAAGACGAAATGGTACAATTAAATTTTGTGTTATTTTTTGTGTAAATAATGACTTCGTAGTAAATATATTTTTTTTTATTTAATTTTGTATATGTTCGATGCACGTCTAACTAAAACTGGGAATATGTGAATTCCTACCCCAACATGTCCCCTCGTACGCCGCTAATGACGTGACGTCAACGAGAATGTAGATTATAATTAGGTCGCTGCACTTATAAGTGGCGCTGCAGTCGGCGGCCACGTAAGATTGACAGTAATGACAACTAGAAATTGTGCTGAAAAGAAATTGTCCAATTTTGTTAAAACTATTAATCCAAGTACCGATATTCTTCGATGAAGCTAAAGTAAGTATTATAGAGAATAATTATTTATAGTTGACGGCATTTTTTACATTTTGTTTTGTCTAAAATTTGCGATTTTAAGCGAAATTTAGGTTCAAAGGTTGATTGGCTGTTTTAATTCAATTCGTGACAAGAAACATCCAGAAATTCTCAAAGAAACTTCCAGAAATTGGTGCGCCGTTTTAACCTACTTTTTTTAGCAAGGTATTAGTCGATCCAGTTGTGATACTTACCTTGACACTGTTCTGAATCTTGGAAATTTATTAATAATTAAAGGAACATTAGCGTTTTTTATTATTTGTAGAAATGATGATTACGCTTGAAGTAGCTTAAAATTTAAAAGTTTATTGATTTGTTCTAGATATTGAACACAACAAAAATGGCACAACAAAATTTGCCTAATGGAATGCCACCTCAGATGGTCAATTCAAGACCGCCCTTCAACACCAATATGGAAAAGCCCCCTCTTCAGTTCAATGGAATTCATTCTTCTCACTCGTCCCGTGATTCTTCGCCATCGACTCGGCCTGGACAGCAAGTGCCACCTTCACAGCTGCCTCCCATGCGTTCGACCATTCCGCCGTCACAACTGCCACCTTCCAGGTCTCCAACAAATTTAATAAATCAAAAAATGGGCCAGCTTAACGTTAGCAATTCAAATTCGAGATTTAACACCTCGACGCCAAATCAGACATTACAAAATCCAAGTGGACTAGTCAGTGCTTTTTCTCCAATAAATGTACCAAAAACTGATAACAGTGCGGGAAATCAAGTGTTTAGGCAACAGTTGCAACAACCGCCGCCGCCACAGCAACCACAAGGTAATCACAGCCCATATAACTCTCAAGGGCAAAATAGGACTCTGATAAACCATGGGGTGCCGCCTTACAACCACCAAATTCCCCAGAATCAAGTTTTGCCAAACAGCCAACAAACGCCTCACGTTAATTACAATCCGCCTTTTCAGCCTCAAACCTATCAGAGGCCGTTAGTTAACAATCACAACCAAGCACCGCCGCATTTTCAGACCATGTCTCAACCCAAACTGGTCCAAAACAATAACCCCGTTGCGCAAGGAGGGTTCAACTATAATGCGGCCCCCAACATGAATATGCCGCCACCTCCTCAAACCCAATTCAAGACCAACTTGCACTCTAACCGCTACCCTCAATCCCAACCCCAACAGCCGCAACCCAATATGAACCCTCCTCAGTTCTATCAGCAACCCCAACAACAACAGCACAGCGTGACTCAGCACGGCTTCAATAAAATGTGGGGCCAGGACCATGTAGATCTCTTGCAAACCCCAAATATTTTGCCCCGAGAAAAAGTCACGCCACCCAAGGTATACCTAGGTAACGAAGTCCTCGACTCGGCAAATTGCAGTCCTGAGGTGTTTCGTTGTACGATGACGAAAATCCCCGAATCGAACTCATTGTTGCAAAAGTCCCGTTTGCCGCTGGGCATTCTGATTCATCCATTCAAAGACCTGACTCATCTCCCGGTTATACAATGCAACGTGATCGTCAGATGTCGCGCCTGTCGCACTTACATTAACCCCTTCGTGTTTTTCGTTGATTCGAAACGCTGGAAATGCAATCTCTGCTATCGCGTCAACGAATTGCCAGAAGAGTTCCAGTTTGATCCAGTTAGCAAAACCTACGGGGATCCGTCGAGAAGACCCGAAATCAAGTCGAGCACAATCGAGTATATTGCTCCTGCTGAGTACATGCTGCGTCCGCCGCAACCTGCTGTCTATCTCTTTTTGTTTGACATTTCGCGTTTGGCAGTCGAAAGTGGGTACTTGCAGAGCGCTTGTGCCGTGCTTTTGGAAGAACTGAAGAGTTTGCCGGGAGATGCGCGCACGCAAGTGGGCATAGTCGCTTATGATTCTGCGTTGCACTTTTTCGCTTTGGGCGAAGGGTTGAGTCAACCTCATGAGATGACTGTGTTGGAAATAGACGATGTGTTTTTACCTTGTCCGGATAACCTTTTGGTAAATTTGAAGGATCGTGCGGACTTGCTTACGGACTTACTTACCCAACTTCCCACTAGATTTAACAATACTTATGATAATAGTTCGGCTCTTGGACCTGCGTTACAAGCGGCTCATAAAATGATGGCGGCTACAGGAGGGCGAGTGACCGTATTTCAAGCTTCTTTACCGAATGTTGGTCCCGGTGCGTTGACCGCTAGAGAGGACCCAAGTCAGAGAGCATCGACAGAAGTGACTCACTTAAACCCGGCCAACGATTTCTACAAACGACTAGCTTTGGAGTGCAGTGGTCAGCAAATCGCTGTGGACCTTTTCGTCGTCAATTCTCAGTATATGGACATGGCCACTATTAGTGGAATCAGTCGATTTAGTGGCGGGTGCATAAACCATTTCCCGCTGTTCAAAGCTTCCAGAGTTTTACAGAACGAAAGGTTCGAAAGATGTTTCCGGCGATATCTTACTAGGAAAATAGGATTTGAGGCTGTGATGAGGATTCGCTGCACTCGTGGCTTATCCATACATACCTTCCACGGCAATTTCTTTGTGAGGTCAACAGATTTATTGTCGCTACCTAACGTTAGCCCTGATGCTGGATTTGGCATGCAAGTGTCCATAGACGAAAGCTTATCAGATGTCCAGTCTGTTTGTTTCCAAGCTGCTTTATTGTACACCTCCAGCAAAGGCGAGAGGAGGATAAGAGTACACACGCTGTGCCTACCGATATGTGCTACCCTTACCGACGTGATCCATTCGGCCGATCAACAGTGCATTGTGGGATTGTTGGCAAAGATGGCGGTGGACCGTTCGATGCAATCTAGTCTTTCCGATGCCAGGGAAGCTTTCATTAATGTGGCCATAGACATTCTATCTAGTTACAAGTTATCCCTTAACATGGGCAACGGTTCTAGCTCGCTGAATGCCCCTCAGTGTTTGCAATTGCTGCCTTTGTACATATCGGCCTTACTGAAATCGACTGCGTTCCGGACGGGTACCAGCACTCGGTTGGATGACAGAGTTAAGGCCATGATCGACATGAAAACCAAACCTTTGAGCCAGTTGATTCAGATTATCTATCCGAATTTGTACCCCGTTCATAATTTGGAAGAGCAGCCGATTATTTTAAATTCGGAAGAAGAGCCAATCCCGCAACCGCCGCACATGCAGCTGACCGCCAGATGTCTGGATTCGAAGGGGGCGTTCCTCATGGACACCGGGGAGCATATGATTATGCTAGTGTGTCCAGGTGTTTCGACTGTTTTCTTGAACGAAGCTTTAGGCGTGAGAGATTACGTGTCGATCACAGACGAGATGTACGAGTTGCCCGTGTTAGATAACCTACATAACCAAAGACTGCATCAGTTTATAAATTATTTGAACGATGAGAAACCCTTCGTGGCAACGTTGCATGTTATTAGAGACAATAGTCCAATTAGGATAGAATTTTTCGAAAGATTAATCGAAGATAGGTTAGAGAATGCACTGAGTTATCACGAGTTTATGCAACACTTGAAAACGCAAATCAAGTGAAGGTAGAAGAGGGTGTTAAATATTTTTTATAATAAAATATAGGTAATGCAAAATTATTGCTCAATGGGACAGTGGATTTAAGCGTACTCTATAATCGCGTTCAAGGTTTATGCGGTGCGGTTTTAATGTTATTTTTAAGGTTGATTTTACTGTTTTGATATTTATATATTGTGATATGTACCTATCTCTTATCGATGCAGTTAGCAATATTTTTGCATTAATCCAATGCTTCTTTATATTATTTTTATGTCGTCAAAACTCACTGACTTTCGTGTTACATGATTGTTTATATCCATATTTACAGTTCTATTTTGATGTGTAATGTAAAAATTCATTAGTCCTTAGTTGCAAGTTATTTTACGCGTTTATCTTGTCCTATTGGTATCTATGAAATTGTCTGTTAATAAAAATATAAGTTATAAAAATAAATATGTATATAATGTAATAGCCGGTTTTATTTTAATTAATAATCCTTATCTTAAATGCAAATACCACAAGACAAACATAGTAAACAACTTGTTTTCCAAATTATATATCTGTGTGAGTAAATTATAGTTGTGAAGTCACTTAAATAGTTGAATGACAAGCTTCAAGCGTACAATCATATTTATTGAACAACCAAACATTACATGGCGATTTTTGTCAAGTGAATAGTTAAGTGATAATGAAATAGTAGCCTTGTACACACATTTCATCTTATCTTTGTGCTGATTAATTGTACCAGTTCTTCATTCTTCTGATCTTTCGCCAGATCGAGCGCACTTTTTTGCTCTACATTCTTAATATCCAGGTCAATCTCTAATGTTAACAGAAAGTCCACAATTTCTACAAATCCATTTACAACAGCTTCATGTAATGCACTATTTCCTTCATGATTGACAGCATTTAATGATGCTCCGTGTAAACATAACACCTTAACAACATCCAAATAACCTTTAGAAGCAGCTCCAATCAGTGGCGTGTTACCTGCAACAATATGATATCTTTCACTCAAAGGGTGATTTCCACTATCATCTCTAATAACACCAATATTAAGAATAGCTGGATCTACGATTGAACCGTGTTGTAGTAATTCTTCAACAATAGAAGCGTGGCCTCCAATGGCCGCTATATATATAGGTAACACAAATTCAGCGCTAGCACTATTTACATTCGCATTGTGTTTTAACAATTCTTTAACGCAGTCTAAGTTTCCTTCTTCGGTACATTCATGCAGTGCCGTCCATCCACCAGGTGCACGATAATTAACATCTGCGGCGTGTTGAATGAGGGTTTGAAGAATTGCTACGTTTCCCACAGCTGAGAACAGTGGCGTTTCACCCTCGTCGTTGACGGCATTAACCGAAGCACCTGCATTTATGAGATCTAAAGCGACAATTTCAGAATTTGAGTAAGCAGCGTTATGTAAGGAAGTCCAATCAAAATTATTCTTCGCGTGAACATCAGCGTCGTTACTTAAGAGCAATTTTACTAAGTCGTTGTTATTTGATCTAGCTGCGTTTAATAGAGGAGTTTCTTTGATCGAATCGACAGCATTCACATTAGCACCGTGATTGAGCAAAATCTGTGCTGTCTCCAAGTCACCAAGTCGACAGGAGAGGTGAAGAGGAGTTTCTTTGTGTTTGTTGGTGCAGTTCGGATTAGCTTTGTGAGTTAACAAAATGTTCACGATCTTGGTTTTTAACGCAGAAACCGCTTGTAACAAGGGCGGAGTTTCTAAATCAGTCTTGTCACTAACGTTAATATCACAGCTGTATTTAATGAGCTCGTGAATGCATTCAAGAGATTCTTGGTCGATTGCGTAATGCAAAACGAATCCCAAGTTCACATCCGATCCACTATCCATTAATAAATTAAACATTCGTACGTCATTTTTCGCCGCAGCTATAGATAAAGGAGTTCGTTGGTATTTATCTAAAGCATTCACGGATATTCCTTTTTTAATCAATAAATGAGACATGTCGTAAAAACCGTTGTAAACAGCGTGATGCAAAAGTGTCCAGCCAATCAGATCTACCACTTCCAGACAGCCAACGTCGCTTACACTTTCGATTTCTTCCAAATTGTTTGACCTGACTGAACTCAACAGGTTATTTTGTGGCCCTAAAACAAAACACACTTGACGATGTGCAAAAATAGAGAATGGATTACTTACAATCATTTATTTTTTTTGTGACGCAAGAATTTTCGGCGTTTTCAGTTTTAGCACCAAACTGTGCAAGAAGCTCACACACTTCCTTATGCCCGTTTGTTGCAGCCAAAGAAATCGGCGTTAGTCCATCAGTAATGGCTTCGCGTTCAATAAGATATGGAACGTTGTTATTAATATACGGCAGATCTATAACAGGAATATCAATAAATGATCCGTTTTCTAGCAATAGTTTGACAATCTCGAGGTGTCCATTGTATGCTGCTAAATGTAGCGGAATTATATTTTCAGCATTAACTGAATTCACATCTGCCTTCCATTGCAATAGTTCTTCTACGTACTCTAAATAACCTTCTGCAGCCGCAAAGTGTAAAGGCGTCCATCCACCTTTGGCAGGAATATTTGGGTTAGCGCCATTTTGCAAGAGGACTTTCGCACATTCAATGTATTCAATTTGCCTGTAAAACGAGACGTTGTAAAGCGGCGTCTCTTGGTATATATTCTGGGAGTTTACATTCACGCCGTGTTTAATTAATTCTAATAGCGATTCTGGATGTTCCGCGCTGTGTAAATACGTATAACCCTCTTCGTCTGGAATACTTGCTGAAGCTCCTTTTTTTAAAAGAAGTTTTACGAGGTCTGGCCGGTTTTCCTTTCGGATCAAACATATTGAAAGGGGAGTCAACCCGAATTTATCTTGGATGTCAGTATTGCATCCAACATCGATTAGAAAAGAAATTAAATCGATATTGCCACTATCGCAGGCCCAGTGGAGTGCCGTTTCTTTATCTTTATCAACAACGTGAACGTCAGCTCCATGTTCAGTTAAAACTTTTACGATTTCTAGGTCACCGTTACTCGCTGCGATCAACAAAGGGTAAGTATTTTCTTTTTCCAAATTAGTTAAAGCTCCGTTTTTGACTAAATAGTTGACAATATGAAAGTGACCTTTTTCAGAAGCGTAATGCAAAGGAAATCCTTGGTTAACGTCGGCTCCCTTACTCACTAGAAACTCCACCAGTTCTAGATTTCCCTTGGAAGCAGCCACTGATAAAGGGGTTCTGTTGCAGTCGTCGAGGATGTTTACATTTGAATCTTGGGCCAGTAATTCTTTAATGGAATTTAGGTCCTCTCGTTCTGTCATGCAATGCAAAGGGGACCAGCCAATTTCTTTCATAATTTCTATGAAAGCATTTTTTTCTAAAAAGTATGTGTGTTAATTAATATGCAAGCGATAAGCAGTATTACCTACCCTCGATACACTCGCCCATTGTGAATTTTAACAATTTATATTCACCTAATATTTCAAAAAATTGCACAACCTTTTTTTTATAATATTTTTAATATTTATTTTTTCGTTCTAAAGATGTGAGGCTGTTTTGTTTTTGTTTCAATAAAATAATATTAATTTAATACCGGGAATTTATTTTATGTGAAACCGCATTCGTGTCTTCGCGCTAACCCACATGACGACAGACTGTTCGGACGTCGAAAGTACAAACTCGTGTGAGTCACCAATTCACAATCCCGATAATGATTATTCTCAAGGTGAATCTAGTTCCCTACTGAATTAAAATAGAATGCACATCTCCCTGATTATTTTATAATAGCGCTTATTCCGAATTACAAGTGACACATTTTTCAAAAACTAACTAACCAACAAGGTCACAATTAAATCATTTGAATTCTCTCTAGCAAGGTCCAGCGCTGTCTGGCCTTTTTTGTTCTTAGCGACAACGTCAGCATCTTGTGATAATAAAAACTCAACTATATTTTCAAATCCACCTAAAACGGCCTCATGCAAAGCGGTATTTCCTTCGACGTTAGCAACATCTAAATCTGCTCCATAAGAATGCAATAACCTGACGACCTCCAAGTGACCTTTCGATGCAGCTCCAATTACAGGTGTGTTACCCGGCACTATGTGGTGACTCTTGTTCATAGGAAACATAATATGCTCGATCCTTATCACACCAATATCAAGAATGAGCGGATCTACAAACGCTCCATGTTTTAGCAACTCTTCAACAATGGCACAGCGTCCGTTAATGCTTGCCAAATATATAGGAAGAACGTTTTCCGCACTTCCTAAATTAACGTTGATATTTTTGTCTAGGAGTAGCTTAACGCATTCCAAGCTCCCATAGAAGGCACTTTCGTGTAAGATAGACCAGCCTCCGAATGCATTAAAGCGCACATCCGCGTTATAATCGAGAAGAATTTTCATCACTTTTGGATTTGAAGCCGCTAGGTATAGAGGAGATTCGACGTTGTCGTTGTAGTAGTTGACATCCGCACCTGCTTTTAGTAATTCTAGTGTACTTTTGTCTTTAGATGACGCTCGATGTAACGGAGTCCAAAGTGAATTGTCTTTCCAGTGAATGTCGCCTCCATTTTCTATCAGGATTTTGAGAAGTTCGTGACTGGAATTTGGGGCAGCACATATGAGTGGTATATCTTGGCAGTTATCTACCGCATTTATGGCAGCTCCGTGTTCCAGTAGCAACCGAACTGACTCGATATCATCAAACTGACAAGCATTATGAAGTGCGGTTTGTTCGTGTTTGCTTACATCGTTTACGTCCGCTTTATGTTCTAATAATATTTTAACAATCTTTGATTTATGTTGTGATGGGGCTTCAACTAACACGGACGATTCAAATAATGACTTATTTTTAATGTTTATGTCGCAGTTGTACTTAATAAGTTGTAAAAGTGATTCTACTGCGTTTTGATCCATGCCGTAGTGTAAAGCAAGCCCTAAATTTACGTCAGCGCCGTTATCTACAAGTAATTTTATAGTTTGAACGTCATTTAGTGCGGCAGCGAGTGATAAAGGAGTGCGTTCATAATTATCTAAGACATTAACAGGTGCGCCCTTCTTAACAAGCTCTGAAGAAATATCGTAACAACCGCTCCAAACGTAATGGTGAAGAGGGGTCCAACCTATCAGATTTGTAACAGCAGTTAACCTGGGATCATTCGGGTTTAACTTTTTTATTGTTTCAAGATCCTGGAACCCTAAAAACCAAAACGTGTTATTGTTAAAGCAAAGGAAAGTGACGTAGTAGTTACAATCAGGGGTGTTCTCGAAATTGTTTGTTTGAGACACAGAATACTTTTGTAAAAGTTGGACAATGTGGTCATGTTCAGACAACTCAGCCATCGTGCGTGGGGTACTTCCTTTACTTATGTTATACCTCCGCGAGCAACAGTTAACGTCTACTAAATCTATAACAGGAACGTCAATAAGAGAACCGTGTTCTAACAATTTTTCCACAATTTCAGAGTGACCATTTTGAATTGCTAGATGTAAAGGAATGACATTCTGGGCATTAGCTGCATTAACACAAGCCTTTCGTTTCAAGAGTTCTTTAACTAATTCCAGGTCGTTGTTGTCCACTGCAAGATGAAGGACACTACCACCTCCACTTGCGCGAATGTTTGGGTCAGCGTTATTTTCTAAAAGAACTTTTGCACACTCTGTGCGCTCCATTTCAGCAGCACAAAACAAAGGAGTTTCGTCTCTAATATCTCTAACATTAATATCAGCGCCATATTTAATCAATTCAAGTGTGGATACAGGATGACCTGAACTGTGCAAGACTCCAGTGTTTTGAACCTCTGGCATATTTACAGAGGCTCCTTTTGCTAATAAAAGTTTCACTAATTCAGGATTATTTTCTCTATGTATCAAACAAATGGAAAGAGGAGTTGTATCATATTTATCTTGTGCGTCAATATTACATCCAGAGTCGATGAGTAATGCGATAAGATCGAGATTTTCGCTAAGGCAGGCATGGTGAAGTGCTGTACTATTTGTTTCATCTGTTACCCCAGTGTCAGCTCCATTTTCAATTAAAACTTTTGCTACCTCAAAACGACCGTTAGTGGCGGCTATGATTAGCGGGTAATTATTGTCCTTTGCTAAGTTTACGTCCGCTCCATTTTTAATTAAGTATCGAACTATTTCTAAGTGCCCTTTTTCGGTTGCGTAGTGAAGGGGAAACCCATTATTGATTTCAGTACCTGCATCCAACAACCATTTTGTAAGTTCAATATTCCCTTTTGCAGCGGCTAGTGACAGAGGGGTGCGGCTAAATCGGTCACAATCATTAACATTATAACCCATGTCTACAACCACTTGTGCCCAGTGTAAGTTTTGCTTTTCAACTGCACAGTGTAAATTGTTCCACCCTACAGAGCGCGCCATTTGGTCAATATATTGTGAATCTTGAAATGAACAAAACACACTTATTATAAGTTTAATTCGTGTTTTTTTTTAATTACCTTTCATGTTGTATCATTAACCACAAAATACACCGCTACACCGAGTGATTAACACTGTGCTCTAACCTCCCTTTGTTCCAAAAACATGGAGAATGAATCATCAGCTCTTATCCATTTATCCCCACCACCTACTGTTCCACTGACCTATCACCATGATAGAGTGTTTAGATTTTTTACATATTTAGGAACGCAGCGATTGTGAGTTATTCTGATAATAGCAATACCCCGTTATCTTTAAATATTTTACTTAGTAAAAGTATAGACACATATATTATATAAACACAAAATCGGGTCTTTACGAAAGGTTTATTGTGTAACAATATCGAACATTAATTTCTTAAAACCATTAAGAAATAAATAAATAACATTACCTTCAGAAATAAATATGTCAAAATTGAACTTAACTGGTGTTATTTTATTATAAATAAATGCTAAAAATCAAATGATTGATCACGCCGATCCGTTCAAACAATAATTCTGAAGCCTTTTCCTGATTTCGTCGGGTAACTGTGTGCGCGATACTTCAACTTCAGCCCTTGAAGTGACTTCTCTCAATTTAACAACCCCCTTTTGAATTTCCGATTCTCCCAAAATAACAGCTAAAGGAATACTATACTCTTCACAGTGTTGCAACTGCGCAAGCAGTTTGGGGTTCTTCTTGTACGAGTGTTCAACCTGAGAGAAACGTCTAGTAACATTTCCAAAATTTTAACTAATTCACTCACCTTGAATCCTTCATCCCACAACTGTCGACAAAGTTTCATTCTCTCTTCCACGAGATTCTTCTGGGCTGTGGCCACATACACTTGAATATCCGTCGTCCGAATTTTTGTGTTGGTGGCTGCATATTTCGCTTCAAGGACAGCAAAAATGCGCTCGACACCAATTGAGACACCAACGCAAGGAACCTGTTTGTGCTTTGAATCAAACATGCCAACGAGATTATCGTATCGGCCACCTCCTGCTATGGATCCGACTGAAGATTCGGGGTCGCCGCTAGCATCACCTGTTGGAAATAAATGAAAATTGTGTGATTCGGTATATTTAACTATTCACCTCCAACTAAAACCGCTTCGTAAATTATTCCTGTGTAGTAGTCCAACCCTCTTGCTAAACTTAAATCAAAGGAAACCTTGTCGGAGGTTCCGTAGATGTCGCAGTAGTGTAAAATGAGCTTCATTGCTTCCAAACCTTCAACAGCTGATTTACTTTTGGTTAATCGTTCATCTTTGAGTAGTTTTTCGACGAGTTCTTCTTTTCCGTTTAATTGAACGTATTCCCCAATCTGGTCAGCGACACTTTCAGACAAACCTTTTTCTTCCACCATCTCTCTCTTTACTTCCTCCCAAGGTGACTGTCAATTGATTAATTCAGTTAATTAAGAGAGCATTTTAAATGAAAGTGCTGAATTTGAAACTTTCTATACAAACCTTATCTAATTTGTCTACGGCTGAACATATTGACCTAAATTTATCTTTTGGTACACCACAAGCTTCGAATAAACCGTCCAAGAGCAATCTGTGGTTTAATTTGATCACGAACTGATCCATCCCCAAGATTTCTAAAATTTCGTACACGATTTTAACGCATTCGGCGTCGGGTATCATCGCATCGTAAGCTCCCGCTATATCGAAGTCCTAGAATAAAAATTGTCAATTTCGTGGAAGAAATATGGGTTGAAGAACGTACACATTGGTAAAACTCACGGTAACGCCCTCTAGCTATCGAAGGGTTGTCCCTTCGGTAAACTTTAGCGATGTGGTAACGTTTTATATTGGTAATTTTATTCATTGCTAGATACCTAGCGAAAGGAACAGTTAAGTCATAGCGCAACGAAAGGATTTCGCCACCTTGATCTTTCAAATCGTAAATTAGTTTCGAATCCTCTCCATATTTTCCAGTTAATACTTCCTGATAAAGCAAAAGTAAAATCAGTACAACTGAAATTACAAAACGCCAAGAGTGTTCCGGTGTTAGTCACCGAACTAATGAATCGAATTGTGAAAGTGTCGTATTTTTGGCTATTTACATAATAAAAATTGTACAAGCGCAATAATGTAATGCAATTTACATAAATAAAATGACATAACATGTAAGAGGAACTAAAAATGTCTTGAACTGAAATTACGAGACATGACACACCTCCACAATCAAGGTCATCTGGTTAAGTTATTTGATATTGTCCTATTATACTTACTTTCAACTCAAAAATTGGAGTGTCTATTGTTTCAGCTCCGTGTTTCTTGAATACTGATATAATTTTGTTGAGAACGGAGCTTCGGACGGCCATCTGCTCCGGAGAAAAATCTCTCGTTCCCTTTGGTGTTTTGAGGGTGAACTTTTGAGAACCTGCTTGCGGGCTTTCATCCTCGTTAAGTTTGGCTTTAAGCTCTAATAACTTAGCAACTTCCTCCGCGATCTAAAAATTGTGTACTTACTTATAGCGACGGATTGCATGAGTGTTAAATGCTGAACTAGTTAAATTAATGATTATGTTCGTGTTTTAGAACAAAATTTATTGCTCTGTTTCTTGATTACATAAATGAGAAAATCGACTGTTCGGTTCAATTGCAGCAATTTTTATCTGAAAGATTTCGCAAGCAAGGTCAGGGGGGGAACATTAACTCAGTGCAACGTAAAGTTCCACTTTTTCAACAAAATGTGTTACTGTTCAGCATTTAATGGCAAAAATGTTCGTGATTATCATCGCGGGTCGAGGTCAACTGCATGCAAATTTTTCTATGGAAAAAAGAAATTAAAAATGCGAGTTGGGAAAGTTTCAACATTGGACTATCTAGTGTCTCCAAGCCGATATAAAGTAAAATAAAAATCACTGACCTGTGGTTTTCCACTTAATGTTGCGGAAGACGTGCTTAAAAATTGGGTAAACCCCACAGGCCGTGACAAGCGCCAAATAGTGCGCAACATGGTTGGAGCCAAATTTTCAGCACTTCAAAGAGAAAACTAAGCAATTACCTGCACATCCAGATAAAGAGCGATTAAATTTTTCAATTGACTATAATGGGGGGTGGGAAATTTTCGTTTTTCGTCACCGGAAAAACTCTTTATGTGATTGTACCATCGCCCGAGGTGATTGAATTTTTTTAAATTGACTTTACTGCCTGAAATTGCTTTAAATAATTCTTCGTCTCCTGTTGTAGATGCGTATCCACAAACATAACTGCGACTTGAGAAAAACTCATTTAAGAATTGGCAGTGTTTTTCAGTTACGTTTGCTTGGAAAGGTGAAAATCCGTTCTGACCCTGAAGGAATTCAAACCTTTCAGAATGCGAGGCCTATTGGTAATCGTATCGTGTATTATAATAGGATGTGGAACAAGATCCGGAATAACCTCAATCTCATCGAAACGATTTGAACAAGATTTTCAATTACATAGGAAGAGTTTTAGTTCCCGACACTTATTCCCGCATTTAATGAAGATGATGCAATGTGGGGCTTACCTTTTCTTTACTTTCTTTGGCCGCTTTGTACTTTCTCACAATTTCACCCTGTGCTTTGATTTGTTGTTCCAAGATTTGTTTGTTTGACATTGCACAAAATTCGTAATAATTTACACAAAATAATTTACTTCGGATACGTTACATTAAATCAAGATCAACTTGACAAAACTAGATAACATGTGCTTTGCTACGTCGCGTCACAAATAGTCTGATGAAATAGGACAATTTGACGTTTTTCCGTCGAATACACGAAGCACAAATGTCGAATCGTGTATAGTCGGTAGGTGATTCTTCATTGATTGGTTCTCCGGTCGTATGTAGGGCGCGGTAAAATTTGAATACAGTCATTGAAATCATTTTCATTCATCGAGAATTTAAATACACTTTTGTTTCACGTAATTAATAAGTCTTTATAATAAGTGTTAGCAACGTTGATTGGTCAATAATATAATAATTTAAAAAATTAGCAGCCTGTACCCTACTCAACATGTGACAGCGTGTGTAGGCCGAAGTGTGTTTCATTTAAATTTCAAATGGTGTTTAATGTAGTTGTTAACATGTTTGAATTCCGATTTACCGTTCTAAGAATCATATAAGTTGTGCATGTCTGATGGCATATGAGCTACAGCTGTTTTTCATTGTATACTCAAGAAATCAACACATACGGTTAATAATATTTGTAGTATTTTAATGGCACGGAAGTACAATAAAAACACATTTTTTCAGACTTTTATTATTCTAAATAAATAAACAATGTAGATCTTAATAAAATGGCTGGTTATTCTACATATCTGTGTTTATTACGGTAAATTACACACAACGTACTAAAATATCAAATGTAAGAAGATCTGTGTTAAAATAATTATAATTAGTAAGTTAAGCAACCAACATATTAATCATGGTAAAACGTTGAACATTTAGAGAAAACGGCAGTGTTGAGTACGATCCAAGCCCATCTACACAGTAGTAGTTTAAAGATTATCGATTTAATTTGGACATTTGAGCGTAAGTACCTACTACACATCACGACCTTACTTGAATCTTATTAATTTTTTCTCCACAATTTAAAATAGAAATAAATACATATGATTTAAAATATATACATTTATATGAGTATATTCTCCAACTAGCTCTATCTATAACATTACTTATAAATATGTAATATTAATGTTATATATTATCTCTTACGGTGATATAACACAGATTTCACAAGACAGTAATGTAGCACATGTAAAATTTTGATGAGATTAATGACTGACTTCATTGAACTTAAAGCTAGGATTTTAATAATTACAATGGAATCACATTTTCAACGATTATTATTTGCGTGTTCATAATCTAATTCGAGACCTTGTAAATTTTGCTTACGATTTTTTGCTCTAATTCAAAGTTGTACCGAAAAGTTGGTCATTTACTTAAAAACTAATTACTAAAAATACCGACCTTCCAAAGACAAACTTTACCCAAATTTTGTACGCAATACTTTAAAGTTTGCTGTAAATCTGAGTAAAATTCACTTTAGAAGTCCAACAGGAATAAAAAATAATGAGAACGAAATGTCGTAGGTATGCTTCAAGTCTTTTAGTTGAACGTTCAGTTATTCGGTGGTCCACAAAAATTACAAGCAGTACATCTTATAATAACTATAGAACTATTATGTGGCGGTACAAAAGTGATAAGGAAATAATATTCTGCCTGTGAAAATATAAATGTTGTTTACAGTATTATGGTAACAAATTCTCCCTTCAAACAATTCACATAAATATTCCACCAACATGGTTTGATTTTTTTTTTGTTATATACACACACATATACCAACATCTAACTAGACTACAAATTCAATATTATTAGTAGCGCTCATTTGAAATGTATATAAAAATGTTGGAATTACGTTTTTAAATTTTATAACAGTAATCACGACGCAAAAATATGACAACAGGAGATATTTTCACTTCAGGATTACCAATCAACTATTCTATGTTTACACTAAAACAGTAATCTGTAACATTGATGTATATATTGTTTTGGATGGGTCTGTTCTTTAAGTAGCAAAATGACTACAAATTCATCTAAGTACTTTGGTTTCATTACAAATATGTGCGTGTAACAAGGGTTGGCCCTTGATGAAATGAAATGATAAATTCTTTTTCCGCCGCATAGTATTATATAATGAATGGAATAGTACTGAATGTGAAATATTATGGAAGGTGAACAAAATAGATCTCAAAACTTATGTAATTAATACAACTATAACAGTGAAAAATAAATAAATATATAAAACAAATGCAAAAACAAAATTTGCTAACACAATAAACTATCAAATAAATAAAACAAAAATTTTGCTTACTTTAGATGAGCAAAACCATCAGACTTATACATTGTAAATTTTTAAGGGAGTGTGTTCGTTAGCTGACCCTTAAAAACATAAATGCTACTTCCTTAAGTACGAATTATTCAAGTCTCGCTTTATAACTAGTTTTCCAGATTTCTGCCAGTGTAACAGCTGAATGAAATCTGTGGAAAATGCAGAGCGGCAGAGTGAAGCGCTGGACTATAGCCCAGGCCAAAAACCCATAAAACTTCAACTGCACCGGATTAGCCTTCACTTTTTGCATCTCAAACGTGTAAATAATCCACATGGTAACGTTACAGATGAGCAAAAACGTGACAACCTGTCGTCCAGGTTTAGAGCGGTCGTGTTCCGGAAGGTGAACACGGCGACGCGAAACGTCGGCAATAAAAAGCAACTGTAGAATCACCTTTAACATAAAACAGTCGTTATTATGAGCTACGGCATTCGTTTTTATTCCAATACCTGCAGAACCGAAAGAATTCCGGTAATCATCACTAACAAATTGGATTCGTTGGTGAAAGCGTTCAAATGTCCTGCAATGACACTGAACACCGCATAGATGAACAAGCCGAAAGCTGAGACGCGCAGAAGGATATCATTGAGATCACTTTGTTCTTCTGTTTTAAACTTGAGTGACTGTACCCTGTAATTTAGGCGTGTTGACGTCAGGTGCATTCTTGTTTTGTGAGAAATGAGTGATGAGCGGCAAACAAAAACAAAGCATGGAATGAAGAAGCAAAATCATTAGTTGCGCCATTTTCCCATTGAATATTCCTGACCTAATTAGTGACTCACCTTATAAATCCAATAATAATCGCTATTATGCTGAGCACCATAAGAACACAATGAGACACGTCTGCAAGATAGATGGCGAGAAGTTTAAAGTTCGGATGATGGATGAGCACGAAGAACAATATCAAGCATATGAGCGACCCGACTAGGAGAAGCAAGCCGAAGAACAAGCCTTTGGAGGCTCCGACGCAGTCGACTCTGCCTTGTTGGGCTTGAGCTAGAGCGACGGCCCGTCTAGAAAGCATCACCTCTAAACGATGCTCTAAATCTTCCTGGGTCACGTATCTGTAATGCCGTACGCTAAGTGTTTAATTGTTTGAGTAGTGACGAGTACCTTGGATTCCGTCCAATGTGCTTCCACATGACATAAATAACCGCCGCTCCGATGAGTGAGTATTCAATGATGAAAGGGTATAGATAAGGGGCAGATTCTTGAACTATTGTTCCCATTATATTTACTCGGTCACAGCTCAAAGCGCTCGCGACGGAGCCATTAGTGGTATTTAAAGCTCTGAATGCTTGAGGTATTATGTCATCAATGAATTCTGAACCGTTGATGGCATTCACTGGCTCTTCTGCCACTAAAAATCGAACAAATAAATTTAAACAATCAAACTCTGACGCAAACCCACCATTAACCACACTGTTAGTATCAAAGTTATAAGGACTTCTATAATCAAAGAAATTGCGATGAGTTGTGGATGCAGTACTAGTAGTCGTTGCTAGGGTAGTTGTTATAGCTTTCCAAAGTCTGCTAGCGACTGTGGTAGTAGTAGTGGTGGTAGCAGTAGTAGTAGATGGTGTTGTAGGGATGGTACTAGGAGTGGTGTGAAATAACCGCCACAAAGTTGTTGGTACGATTCTTGTGGGAGTTGTGAACACACCTTCAGAGTTAGTAGAATGTTAGAAGCGTGAAAATATTAGTTTATAGGAAGGATTCATGCAAAAGACACTGAGTGACTTACGTCTAGAGCTGGTGGTAGTTGGCAGCGTGGTAGCTAAACTACGTAACGTAGTCGCAGCAGTGCTAGTTGTTGTTTTAAGTATACTTCTTAACGTCGAAGTGACTAGAGGTGCTGTCGTGACAGTAGCTGCTGTTGTAGTGATAACATCTGGCACTGCAACGTTGCTGCCTAACACCGTATTCGCATTACGCAAGTTGTGCATACGTACACTGTCTGCAATATGTACAAAAGCAATGACTTAGCGATAGATTTAACGTGGAAGACATTTTACCATAGAAAATTAGTATTTCTTGAAAATTTTAAACAAAAAGTAAGGCAACGAGTGTTTATTTACAAGCAAGCAGTTTGTGTAACTGTTACAAATACGAAAAACTTACCTGAAAACTCGATGGTTTGGTTAAATTCGTCTTTGTGGTAGATGGTAATCTCCTTAAGATATTCGAGTACAAGAGTCCTAATCCAGACACAAATGTTTGTGGCAACAACATGCATCAAGCCGAAACGTGCTATGACTTTAAATCGATGAATATTTAACTGCAATTATTAAAAAGTATGTTAGAAACGTATTTCTTTATTTTTTGTGGGAATAAAAAGTTTTCAATAGAAATAGTCACGGAGTTAATGAAAAGTAAGGGTTGAGTTGGCGTTGAGAAAAAATTAGCCACATTTTTAAATATTTTTGTTTGAACTTTAACTTCAAAGATCTAATAAATTTTTTGTCACGTTTATTTTATTTCCAGCTATTATACCGGATGACTATTAGCGTTTGAGATTTTATTGTCAGGTTGGCAACATATTTAATATTTTGTCATGGCACACGTGATGTCACATTCAAATTTTGAGCACCAATTCAGTAGCTCCATCTTCTCATTGCTTTTTAGGCTCGTGTCAGAATGGACAACTGTGAACTGAGATGCTACCAATAATTCAGAATCGTCAACCTAAAAATTTGCTTCAGTAATTAATAGTCACCCGATATTAATTTGGCGTGACAATTTATTTAGTTCTGTGGTGATTAATTTAAGGTTTAAATAAAAAAATTCAAATATCTTTTAAAAAGTGCACTCATAATATTACAAAATGCTGATGTTTGTAAAACAAAAACGGATGAGTACAAATATAAAGACAATAAGGTGATGTCTATTTTCTACTTGACACTCAACACAGTTTTTACCATATTTTGAAATCTTGGTTTGTAAGTAGCACGTTGTTTCGTAAATAATATAATATACTACATTAAAGGATACAAAAGGCTCATTTGTATTACATAACAAGTACAACAAAAATTTATAAAATCTTTGTAAGAAAAGTGCTAAGCGCTATGCCTGGATGACAGCGGAAGATAAATTAATAGAGTTAATATGCATATTTGTTTTTACATTATTTTAACTGAAAAATTAAAGTTTCACAGACGTCTTGGTGTCAAAACTTTCAAAATATAATCATTATCTGCAAATATGTATTTGCTAGTTTCTGACAGAATATTTATATAAGTATATATTGTTACGAAATACACCCTTACGCCGCCCCGGTACGACGCCTATGGCCGTCGATAACTCTCTGGTCTTACGCCGGTGATGATTCATCCTCAATACGACTGAGCGACGGAGCGCTAAAGAAACGCCTGGAAACGGAAGTCGCTAATGGGGATATCGGGGAAGTCTAGTTAAATACGAGTTATTACGAAATAAATTGTTGAGTTTTAACCTACGCCGATTATTCACTGTATAACGTGGGGGTGTACAGATGAACATTTCTTTGAATAATTAAACAATATTTCACCGGAACTATTTCAACAGCAAATGTTAAAATAAATATTCATTTTTTGTAAAATTTATTACTCCTATTAATTATACTGAAAACTAATTTTGACACGTCTATATTGTTACGAAATAAACCCATACGCCGCCCCGGTACGACGCCTATGAGTTCTAGTATGTACGGCGCTGATGACTCATTGTCGGTGACGCCGGCCGGAGAAAAGCCTGGAAGCGGATGTTGCGATGATGTTGATGTTTGGAATGTTTGGTTTCCAAAGCAACACCTAAGTTGAGGATGTCGTGTAATAATTTTAAATTGCGATTTAACACTCTTGTCATGAGCACAAATTTCATCGCTTTATTGCAAAATTTTCAAACTAGAAGTTATAATAATTAATGTAAATTTAATTTAATAAATAAATTTTATCCAATTGTAGAAAAATCAAACTTATATTTGTTGATAATTGTACCATTAACTACTTACTGTTCTAATACCTAATACTTAATTTCGACTTTATTATCATGATCCGGTGTCAAATTATTTTTAAATAATGAATGAAGAGTAGGTATTACTTAAAGGGGCTATTTTTCCTATTTTTTTTTATTTTTAACGTTTTTAATAAATTATACATTTTTTTTAAATACATACATTTGCATTTAAAAAGTACCGGGTGATTTTATTAATGGCTGTGACTTTTATGTCAGGTTGGCACCATATAAAATTTTAAATGGCATACTTGATTCCCTAAATAAAATTTAGGTCACCAAGTTATCTTCTCATCATATTTGTAAGGCGCGTTAGGGGCGCTTCAAAGTTAGCAACTGTGAACTGACATGTTGACATTGCTGCCAATAATTATTCAGAATTACCAACACAAAAATTTGGTTCAGTCATCAATAGTCACCTGGTATTTATCTTCCCAAATCTGGGAAGGGCATCTGTAGATTAACTATGTACATTCATTAGTGTTAACAGTAATAGTAAAAATTTTACTCCAAAATCTCATTTTAACGTCAAACTAAATAAGTTGTCTATTTTTATTTCTAAAGCAAGAAGTTGGAGTATTGGTCATTGGTGCAATAATATTCAACTTTTAAATAGTTCGTAAAAAGAACTTTTGATTTTTCTTATAGAACCTACCCACTACAAAACCCACGTCGTTTTAGTGGAAACAAAATTAAATAGCAAAATGTGTCTACTTGTGTTGTACAATACATAAGTTGTTATTAAGTTTAAAAGTTTCACCACAACTAAGAGGCACTTCTAAGCCATTGGCCATAAAAGCTCTTAGACGTATCGTCGAAGAAACTAAAGTTGAGTGGTCTAGCAGCAACAACGCAATAACCCGACAAACCGCTAAACTCTCCTTTCCGCGACATTAATAAGAAATGAATGTTATGTTCTGGATGGTTGGTGACCAATCCACAGACTCTATTCTGTTTTTTTGTAACACACTGTAAATTCTAAGCTTATCCACAATAAAATAAATTAATATGTATTCTGTGGTGATGATCTACTGTGGGTAAATCGTACAAGTCTTGCTTATCCATACTAAAAATGGCATACAAATGCAAGAAAAAGCAAGCGGTACGATTTAACAAATCAGTACGTTAAACTGTACTGAATATAAACCTTTTAAAAATTCCGCCGATAGTCACCACAGGAATTTTTCGTTGTCATCCAGTCTGTCTTTAAATATCGCTAATTCCATGACATGTAACACAAGTAACTACGAAAATGCGAAAACTTACCCGTGAGTTCATAAAAATAAAGTACATCTGCATAAAAGTGAAGATCATCTGAAGGACAGGATTGACCCCACGCAGAATCATGTAACAAGGAGAAGTGAATGGCACTTCGAAAAACGTCCCAAACTCCAGCCCGTTATAGATCATCGTACCCAGCCCGAATGCTGGAAGCAAATCATTAAGACCATATCCTGCAAACCGTTACCCATCCACTCACCAATAGCACCGATTCGCAGAAAGAAACTGCCGTGACTCTGATCGTTTTGAGTCGTCTTCCGTTTTTTCTTGCATTTGCTGACCGTCCCAGCCTCCACGTCGGTATTGTTCGCCGCCGCAGCAGGAGCGGGAGCTGGAAGGGCGGCAGGTTGTGGTGTTGTGGGTGGTGGGACAGGTACAGCAGGAGCTGTTTGTTCCTGCGAGACAACAGGGGCGTCAGATTGTGCACTGATTTCAGCCACAGGCACCGGCACTGCAGCCAAACCTGCGTCAACCACCCCTTCGGAGTTGCGCCGGTATGTGCTCTACCCCCACAAAACCAAATAAAATAATGAATAAAAGAAAGAAGTGTTGAGGTGCAACATGTTTGTGCGTGTAAGTTTCGATGGGAATTTTATTTTGTTTTATGGTTGATTCGGCGGAAAAAGGATGTGATTTAGACAGTCAACTGATGATGATGGAGAGAGAAAAGCGCATTTATTTGAGAGTCTCGGGGGAAATAAAGAGGAAAATTTACATATTTCATTTTCACTATTGTGAATTGCGGTGAATAATGGAATATTTTGTCTGCTAATTTTTTATAATTTTAGCAACGGCAACCTAATTATCATTTTATAAGGTTTCTGAGGATTATTATATAGTGATTTTGCAACATAGGTATAGACACAGATGAAATAATAATTAAGATTTCTAGATTTGCAGTATCGCAGTGTAGGTATTAGAAAACTGGAATAACATTTTTACTAAAATGCAACTAACCCTGGTAGAATTAGTGGCTTTAGCATGTTTATTTTCACATATTGTTAATTTTGGTACATCGATACTGATTGAAAGAGCCACGACAAATTAAACAACAGCTACAATTTAAAAGATTCTTGAAAGAAGTTTCAAAATGTTTGCATTTATTGTCGCTGTTTTGTAAATTGATGAGAAAATAAAATTCTTTTCACACAAAACGCCTTAAGCTTAATTTTTCGAATAGGGTTTATAAATTGATTAAAAAAAAGGACGATGTGTGTTCTAAAATTTAAATTTAATAATAATTGTACAATTGTTGAATTAAATATAATAATTCTTTAGTACTATTTCGTCTTGAGCATAACTGTAATATATGGAATATATATGGTGTCCGTTTTATATCTGATCATAATTCGTACTGGTCAGTATAGATAAATATTCATAAAATGTTTAAAATATGAAAAAATGTCGTTGAAACATATTCATTTTGATAGTGCTGATGTTATGTTTTATTTATCAGTTCATAAATAGTTTTTTGGATTTACCGAATGTTCTTTCTGGAATAAAAAATAATGCCCTTCTACGATCTAAGTTATGATATATGTTTTTTGTACAAAGTACGAAGCATAGTTATTCTGATTGTTCATCTTTGAATAGATACGTTATTTCTGTCTTTTTAAATGAGAGTATAGATGAATACCAATTTGTTAATTTTTTATTTTAAATGCTTTGCGTTAATACACCATCATTATTATTGTTACCTACTATAATTACGTTCTTAAAAAACAACTCTCCAATTGACACATTTCCTGTGTTTAAAAATAGGAAAAATATATATTTAATACTTATTTGTATATCAAAACCATAAAGAAGAACTTTTTCGGCCGATCTGATGAGAACGAAAAAGTTTTCTTTGGCCGAAAATAATTGATTATTATAAAAAAAAGTAAAATAAAAAATAAATTGGTTGAGATTCGCTGCGATGGTCGACGCGTTATTCTCACTTTCGCGTGAACTGAGCTGATTACTACACCAATTGTGTTATGAGCTGATGATACTAAATTGGCTGAATTGATTATCACAACATAACTAAGAACTATCCCGATTAAACCAGCTTTTATACACAAAATACCACACTGAAATGAGTTTATCCATTTGATGGCTATGGTGTCGCAGGCAGACAAAGGCTTCAAAGTTTATAACACCCCTTTTTTCGACTGGATTTAAAAAATGATTATGGGAGCACCGAAGGAATTGATGACACTTTATTATGTCATCGAAAATGATTCAAAGTCTAAACTATGTTACCTAATATTATAATTATTATAAACCTTCGTGTTTCGTATGTACATTATTGCTTTTTCTTCTTGCATGTGAAAATTTAGACCTATACTTTTCCTCTGTCTTCCCCACATTCTGTGGTGAAAGAGTATCTGCATTTGAAGATATTATTAGCTTTAAGAGGACTTTTTTGAAGGTGGAAAACAGTTATAGTCATTCCAGTTACCCGCGTAAATCGTAAAAGTCGTAAAACGCTAATCATTCAAGCCCTTTGGACTATTTCGACGTCTGACTCCTAGGTCTATAAAAAGACACAAAAATATTGTGATGGGCGTATTTTAGTATCAAAAGTTTTACGACACAAGGGCATTATGGTGAAATAAAGTATAGCTTAGCAAAATCTTACTTAACTAAGAGAAAAGTGAAATAAGAAACGATAAATAAGGCAATGACCAATTTATTATTATTAATCCTGTTTATATTTTCAAAGAGTGTAGCAGTGTCAAAAATTTAAATAGATAACTAACAGTTTATTAAATTTTGATAGTTTGTTTCACTGTGTTTGACTGAAATAACCCACCATGCACTGGTAAACGTCCGAATATCTGATACATAAATTAATTATTTAAATTTTAAACATGCCATTTTTCCGCAACACGGGTTATACTACCGTTTTAACACCCGTCGGAAATGACTTTGCAGTTACACTGCAGTAAAGATTAGATACACAAATAAATTGAGAAAGATGTCAATGTTGTATTCGAAACTTGTCAATTTTATTTTAATTAGTGGACAATTGTTTGGGTAGCAAGCTCCACAATAATACCAAGTTTCTATTCTAAAATTATGTGTTTTATTACGTAACTAAGTAATATTAATTCTTGAATTTCAACATGTTTTTCTTGTTTTATTTTTTGACAACTTATCTACGGACGCCACTGCTTGGGGCTTTATAGTTTGGTTTACGTGATATCCCTACAGTTAAAAACACACTATACTTCGGTAATTATAGCTATAATTTTTACAGACGTCCAAACAGTGATTTGGCACCGACCTTGCATTCACCTGTTTTTGCGTCAGGTATTTTTAATACTGCAACAGCTAAAATTTAATTCGCGTTTTTTTTGTTATGTGAGTCGCTTCAGGCGATTCCGAATTTCTTAAAATGTATATTGTATACATCAGACTAAACCAGCAGCCAATTAGGAGAGATTATTGTCAAAATTTTTGTGAGAGTGCATCCACCGTCTACAAGGCCAACTAAATTTATCGTTAACGGATTAATAGGATTAAAAATATCGAACTATATTCTTGTTTATTTATTATGTCTACTCTGGCCATCCAATTATAATTTTTTTATCGAATATAATTTTATTAAGTTAGTCGTGTGGATTAAAACTACTAGTGTTTTTCTTAACATCAGGATCTTTTGTGGTTTAGGTATTTACATATATCATATAAACAAATTAGATAATATTAAAAGTAATAATTTAAGTTTAATTTTGAACCCTTAATTTTGTCATATTAGCTTCTGTTGTCTCGAATATAACAACGCTGATTTTTACTGTAAATGCTTTATATGCAATATCAATATCAATTCGGTATCTACAAGAGAATTTGGTACAACAGGTTTTAGGATTACTAGATTCAGTAAAATTAGATTAAAATTTTCAGGCTAATAGCACTTCGGCCTAATACATGTATACATAAAGGGAAGACACCATTTCGCGAATTACGGTGCATGAAAAATTATGACATAATAAACCAAGTTTACTACTGCTAAAGTTTCGTTAACCCTCCGGTCTACTTGATTTATTATTTCTCACGTTTGCTTGAGAAAACCGCAACTGTAGAAGCGGCACTTCATTTTATTATTTAGATACTATCCCACTGTGTAAAAACTTTCGTTACGACAAATAACCTGACGGTCATAAATTACAGATACAATTAGAAAGTGTAATGAGGGGTGTTAAACGCAAAAGCCATAACTTAGTATTAATAACTGTGACTATTACACCCTTGACATGTCTTACCTCGCTTACAACTAGTTTAAAATCAGATCGAAGAAATAATAAATCTTAAGAACAGGAGAGTAGGGGTGATTTTACGTTTCGAAAACTTTTGCAACATACGTCATTGTATGATAGTATCAGCTGTTTGCAGAGAATTCATTTAACAAACATTTTCCTTTTTTTTTATTTTAGAAAGTTACTCATAGCTATATTGAAAATTGCGTTTTATGTTCATTTGAATTTTCACTATTATACGACTGATTGTTCTGTAAATTATTTAATTCTGGTGCTTAGGATCGATTTAAAACAGGTATAAATCAACTTCTGACCTTATAGATTAATTCTACTACAGTCATCCGATCATTAAGGAATATTATATCGGAAACTAAATTTAAGCCAGCAGGCTGCCTGACAACATTTACATTTTGTTAATATCATTAAATTATAACTAATAAAAAGTTATTATACCTAACTGTTTGTTCTTTATACTTATTTCATGTTACAGTATTAATTTACTGTTAGACAAATGATAGATTCAGATTATTTGCAAGAATCAAGTGTAACTTTTAGAATTCCTTTGTACTTTCTCCGCGTATATAAAGTATACGGGTTTATCGAACGATCAATATAGTACATTCTACATATCCCATAAATCATACCATAAACAATTTACAAAATAAGTTTATATAGGATCATAAAGTTCGTAGCACCGGAAACAAAAATACTTGTTTTTTGAATAAGACGCGTATAAATGTAACTTGAGCACTTTTTATTGCACACTGAAGCTTACGTTTAGTAGTTGCTACTACACATCATTGAGAGAAAACCCAAATAAACTCCAGTCCAAACCTAAATTAATATACTGGTACTACAAATCTAGTACTTTACCAACAACTATGTAATAATTTTATACCCGAATTTTTCTGCACCTATTAAGAGATTTTTTTAGTGGGAATTATTTTATCTTGGAACGGAAAAACATTTAAAAATTACAATAATCCACATCGAGTAGGTCATCGACGAGTAATAATATTTTTAGTAATTGATGTGAACTTCATTAGTTAAAAAACTATTTAAATCATGTATAATTTCTAATATTACTTTTACTTTATATTTTACAAAGCTATGATTTTTGTTTCAAAATTATGTGTGTACAAATCTGTAGATTTTTAGAAACTGGCATCAATGTGATAGGCGACTATAGCCAACAAAGTCTTACTAAAAGGCAATGAATTAACGGAAGAATGAATGAACGGACCTCTCAAATAAATTGGCTCAAATGCTCACATACTTTTTCGTACTACAATACATAGTAGAATAGAAGGGGGAGCGTAACTAAAAAGATAATTTTATTCTTTCATGCCTTCTAATAAACGACATCATAAAAAGTTCATTTAATGTCTGTTTAACTGCGCGTACAAAGATTTAACCAACTTTTTATGATGTTAGCCTAGGAGTAAGAAGCCAATTGATTGTTTGTAGGAAGAGGGAAGGACAGTTAACTAGGCACCAACCTTCGCTCACCTGGTGAGTTGGGGATGTTGCCTTCTGCTGGACCATGTCACGCATCTTACGTGGAAATCTCTCCCTCTACACGCACAACATGCTCAACAACGCAAAATAACTCAAACTTAATAAATAAAGTTAAACAGAAACATTAAGATAAATAAAGATGTTAATATGAAACAAACACAAATGAAAAGTAAATACAATTAAATACAAAAACCACCCCTTCATATTTTTTGAGTTTGTCATGGATTTAGCTTTTGCAAGTAACTTATAGAATATATTGTCACTTAAAACTGTTCAAGTCTATAATTTACTTGCTTATGAAATGTTATTAACATTTTAAAATCAGTAATGAAAAGAAAATTACCTTTTCCTGTTTTTTACTCTTCTTTTCTTTATCCTTTTCTTTTTCTTTCTCTTTTTCCTTTTCTTTCTCTTTTTCCTTTTTTTCCTTCTTTAACCTTTCCTTCTCCTCCTTCTTTTTCTTTTCTTCTTCTTTCTTTTTTTCTTTTTCTTTTTCTTTGGCTTTCTCTTTGGGTGGTTTCTTTACTTTCTCTTTTTTTTCACTCTCTGAGCAACATGTACTCTCTTGTAATAGAAAACAGAAGACGTAGAGAAGAAATAATATGCTCATACCATACAGGTATGTAAAGAAACCTTCGTAGTAATAAAGTGGTATATTATGTGTAACTACATCTGATATTACGTACGCTATACAAACAACAACCAGAAGTTTTGCATACACAAAACTCATGATTATGAACAAGGAAGTCCTGAAAAAGAAAAAAAAGTTTCAATTTTTGTTTAGTACAAGGATAAAACAATAACTCGAACTATAAGTATATTATTAGTAGGAAGTTGGCAGTCGCAGTTGTTACAAACGAAACGAGGAAGTGAACCTAAAGATATTTCGTTTGTTGAGTAAAAACCTATTTTGCGTTATCTAATACAGTCTCATACACTAAAATTTGTTCTTGCGTGCATATTAAACATAAACACGAACCATACTCATGTAATAAACTCATGGCACTAATCAATAAAGTGAGCAATTATAAAAAAAATTAGTTAGCATTTATTTATTTCTAGACAACAATGCCATTTTAAAACACAAAGACCGGTGTAACATGTACATTATTGTACATATTTCAATACTTGTAAAGGTTTGTATGTTTAAGTGCTTTTTAATGTACGTTGTTCGAAATAATTCACTCGTACTTTTGTAGTCCTCGCGAAAGTTTATTAACAAAAATACATACTCGGGTGTATCGGAAATGTACGAAAGTTCAAACATTGTGAATACACACAAACACTCTGACTAACACTACTGCACTAATTTTCTATAAATAATCTGAGAATTTTAGATTATAGTTCGCATACTGGCATAGTCAACAACACTCCCACCCTGCTTCCCAGTAGCGTAATTGAAGGCACTTTTGCTCTGTTATAAATTCCAGATGGTCTGGTCCTGCTCCCTTACAATAATATTATGATCATCACGGTTCACCGCTACGTATTCGTGAAGAGTTGAAAAATCGGTCCTTTGACTGTGCAAACATACAAGGGGGTTATAAGTTTATAAATAAAATGTTTTTGGTTGAGTATAAATAGATCCGCAAATAATACGATAATTATTTTTATTTGGCGCTATTTTAGACAATGTCGAAATAAGTTAAATATACCGCGATACTACTGAAGACCGTCATCTCTAATTGTGAATTAGATAGTGTCTTAAATTATACTATGACAACTTAGTGACACAAAGATTATAAATATAATTATCAACGAAATGTTACAGAATCATTGTACAACTACTTATTATTTATAATAAAATGATTTCGTAAGGTATCATAGATTGTATACTGGAATCTTTGGTCAAACAATTTTTCATATCTGTAATATTTTTAGATCGGTGACTGCCACCAAATGTGCATAAATTTCAGTGACTGAGACATTTACGAATGATGTCAAAATATCTGAGTTTATTTTCATAACAAATCAACGGAACTATCATTTATTATTGATTGAACTACGATTGATTGTTCTTAACTGGTTTACAATTTTAGAGAAATTAATACAATTTTTGTACTTCGAATTTAAAATTAATAAAGAGCTTATCCGAGTAACCGAAGTTGATCATTGTACTAAATTATAATTGACTTTTAATTGGACGTGAAAAGAGAACCTCGTTGTTGGGCGAAACATATTACAAAATATTTTTTTTACTAACGCAATTTTGATAAAACTGCGGCAGGTAATTAATTACTTCGCGAGTTTAAAATCTGCGTTAATTCCGTGAGCACACATTTAATCACTCCAGGGGTGGACAAAATTTACTTAATTAAAACATTTTTGCACGCAAACACATCAGGATATAATACGCAATTTTCGCTAGAATTGTCTAAATATTAATGGCATGAATTTTAGATTAAAGACATTTTAAATTTTTACTAGTTGTAGTAATAGATAGTAGCAATGTAAATGTAAATTTACTAATATTTTGACCACAAAAGTTTTATGAGTGGTAGTGCTGACTTGGGTAACCAAGGAGTAATTTTTGAATTTCCCTTATTATTTTGCTTCATTTTAATGTTATTATTTTACAAATTTTCCTTGCGGCGAATTTTTACACATAACGAATGTAGCAAAAGCCTTATAAAACAAGTTTTTTTTTTATACTTATTTTCCATTGAGGAAATTTAACATCTTTAGTAGTTTAGACAATATTAGTTACTGTCGACCCTTGGCACACCGAACTCCGACACATGTCAAATTTGACGTTAAATTAAAAAGAAATAAGATTTGTGTTGTCTATCAAATATGAATTACGCCACATGAAGCCAAGAATACCAATAAACAACAGTGCTTTAATGTAACTCTAAAATCACCGAATCAGAAAAAAAATTATAATAATTTTAACAATTTCTGTGGATGATCATTATGTAATGTTTAGCCTGAAATTCAGATTTCATTTATTTTTTAAGACATTCTTTAGTAAACCAAACGCACTGTTTTTTTTTATATGCTGTTGCTTATATTGTCCCTCATATTCCATTTTTTTTCATGTTTTTAGAATAATTACATTATTTTTATTGTTGTTAGTTTTCTCATGAATGCTACATATTTTGTACTTTAGTAAATTTTAATCAAGTATACTCATTTTTTAATCGTATGTATGCTGTATAATGCTAAAATAGATAATGAATGGACCAATCCAACTGTGTTCATTATGGGAATTATCCATTTGCAACTGTTACGAATTTCTTACAATCATTATAGGAGACGAGCAAATATTTACAAACCTCTCCGACTGATATCTACGAATGGATGTAAGAAAATTTGTTGTTTGTGTTTGCGAGCGTGTCCAGCGAAGGTAAATACAGGAATCATTTCGTTATACACCTGTAATCCTGAAGTCACTCTAACGAATGTCTACAAGGCCACTCGTGCTTGTAAACATTTGCCAAGAGGAAATGTTTTTACTTCCAAAAGAAGAGAAAAGCAGTTCTCTTTATCTATAAACCGTATTAAACTAAGCTGTCACAAATTTGGTACGGACTGTACAATTTGTAAAATTGGCATTGAAACTCCACAGAATTGTAAAATTACATAACTGTTTCAAATATTACAGCAATAAAAAATACCTAGGGTAGTTTTATAATTTTACTGAGCTCGGGTAAACAATTCTCTGCAGTGCGTGTAACTCTATTAAATTCCATGAATTATCAAACAACCATCAACAACTGATAAGGAACACAAGTTCTAATATATTTTTAATATACTAAGGGCCGTTTTATGGAAAACGAATTAAATGTTTAATGCTCGCTTAATTTAACAGAGGATTAAAATGTAGAACATGAGCTCGTGATCGGTTAAAACATGCACGTTGCATAGCAACGGACCTCAATTAAAAGTCAATCGCGGTTTTTCTTGTGTTGTTATTACGTTTAAGGGGATTACAAAGTGTTCCTTGATGTTAAATAAATTAACAATGATGGCAAAATAAAATACGAGTTCCCTTTTGGGTTATCTAATGCATGTATTATTATACAGAATGACCAGTTTGATTGCCCATTAGATTTTTAACGATATGTGGTTAATTTTGGCTTCCTCTGTTCGAGTTTCGCTACTATTCAATCACAAACGCCTTCTGCACACTTTCTACAATGAAAAAAAAATTGACACACATAGATCACGTTTGGTGGTCTATGTTGGCATCTTCCAATATACACTCCCCACAAAATTAGCGCACCACTTTTAAAATAAAAAATAAGATCGTCAATTGTTTAAATAAGTCTTTCAAATAAATGCAACGAACATAAAAAAAAATTGATAAAATACTGTTAGGATGACCGGTGATTAAAAATCGGCGTGGGTAAAACTCAACAATTTATTTCTTAGTAACTCAAATTTACACGACTAATTAATTACACATGGATTATGCATACAATAATTCCGACTGGAATGGATTTGACTTCACTGACTGCTCTGTGGTTCCCATTTCAACAGCCACGCTGTCCTTCTCGAAAGGCCTCCGTCACCGCTTCTAGGTTTGTCTAGAGCACCCATCGCAACTTCCGCTTCCAGACTCTTCTTTAGCGAACGCCGTCCAGCCGCCGTCACCGAAGATGAATCACCCATGATCGCTGCACACAATAGAAAACCCATAGGCGTGGTACCGGGGCGGCGTATGGGTTTATTTCGTAACAATACGAAAAATGTGTTAATTTTGTGGGGAAGTATACTTGGGCAAACGTGGAATTTATTTGAAATTTTTTAGCAATTTCTGTTGAGCTGTAAGTAATATTTACGTGATACATGGTTTTCATGTGCGGCGTACCAGATTGGTTCAACAGTGGGGAAAGAGAATTATAGTTGCTCTTACTAACTGAAAACAATTTCTGTTTTTTTTTTACATACAAACAATTCTAAGATAGAAAGTTCACCTATAAAAACGTAACGATACATAGATGATATTAATAAATGAACTTAAATCTTAGTGTATGAGTTTGTATGATACAGTATCTATCCCATAAGTAATACATATAAGTACACAAATTTAATATGAATGTTTGATTTTCTCGATGCTCCTGTGAAAAGAATATTTTTTGCGCCAAATGGGAATTCTTAGACGTAGGTACGATGACTAAATCGGTGAAATTCAGAATATCGAGGGGATAGAAACTGGACTGATGCACCTGATTGGTGGATATGAGATTGTGCCGCCCCGTTTTGAATTTAACCGATTTGTCCTTTGACCGTTCGACAAATTTTAAAATTTCACCCATGTAAATGTTTAAATAGTAAAAACAATTTGATGTATATACAGGGTCGCTAGAATGTATGGAAACGGTTAAATATCTTGAGAACCAATTGTACAAATCAATTGAAATTAGATATAGGGGTACAAAAACTTGTGGTCGTAAAGGCAAGGCCAACTTGACTTTTTTAAATGGCACTACAATGTAATTAATGCATTTTTGATAGAGCTTTTTTTTTCTGAATTCATTGATGTAGCAAACCATACATTCTTTTTGATTGAAGTGGCAAAATAAATTAACCAAGAACAACCGAAACCCAAATTAAACTTTCTACAAAAAATGCTCAAAATGCTTTCCATTTACTTCCTGGCACTAAAAAAGACGCTGAATAAAATTCTGTAGTGAGTTAATGAGAATTTCTGGACGAATGCTAGCAATTTCTTTATGTATACGTTCCTGTAAGTCTTCAATGTAAATCGGTCTGTTGATATGGTTACGTTTGATCGGTGAATTAAATCGGCGTGGGTAAAACTGAACAATTTATTCCTTATTAACTTGAATTTACACGACTAACTATTAGAGCGATTATGTACAAAATAAATCCGGCGCAACTTGGCTGTACTCTCGTGGACTGAACTGAATGAATCATCATCGTTCCAGACGTTGGCCTCTATTTAAACTTATTCGCTCCTCTCGAAAGTTCGAGAACATCGCTTCGAGGGTTTTCTGGGCTGCCCATCGCGACTTCTGTTTCCAGGCTTTTCGTCACCGAACGCCGCAATGAGTCATCACCGCTGTATATACTAGAAAGTTCTCGACGGCCTATAAAGGCGATTCTTCAAATAGCCTCCTAAAAAAAGTCAAGGGGTGTCAAATCCGGTGACCTGGCAGGCCACTCAATAATACCCCTTCGGCCTATCTATCTGCCAGGAAAAGTTTCATTTAAGTACTGTCGCACTTGACGTCCAAAATGGGGTGGAGCATCATCTTGTTGAAACCATATAGTTTCTGCTGGTAACTCCGGATTTTGGTAACTGGGAACCAATTCTCTAAGTCTAGGCACTATATCTTCGTTTCGCTCTTGTACCAAATAGATTTTGTGTGGGTGAAAATTTTCCTTTTTTATTATTTTTTTAATTGATTTTCTACTAACATTGTGATTCAGCGCTAGTTGTTGCACTGACGTTTTGGGATTTTCTGTTGCGTCTAAGAGGACATTAAGGGGAATTTCATCGTTTTGGCCTGCAAGATTTTGGACGTTCTTTAACACTTCGAGTTTCATTAAATCTGCGTGGGGTTTTTGAAACCGTTGACTTAGAAATGAGTTTTCGCTCAGGATGAATTTTATTGGCAAGTGTTACTGCTTGAGCAAAACTTCGTCTTTTATCACCGTAACCGATAATCCGATATTTTTTTAATCAACGTAGTCCCCTTTCAAGTCTCCACAACCTCTATTGTCTCGTTGTTTGAAAAAATGTATGTCCTTTAACGGTTTTATTAATTGAGCTAACAGACAATAATCCGAGGGAGCTAGGTCCGGAGAATAAGGAGGATGGTTAAGTGTTTTGAACCCCAAAGCATGAATTGTATTCATTGCAATGCGTGATTTGTGTGTAGGAGCATTGAACACCCTTTGGAAAATTGTTTCTCCCTCGTGTCCACAGTTTTTTCGCGTAGCATTGTTAATAGGCTTGAGTAGTATTCTCATGTTATGGATTTGCGCTTTTCTAGATAATCAACCATAATTACCTCACGAGAATCCCAAAAACCGAAGCGAGTACTTTTCCGGCAGATTTTTGCACCCGCAACTTCTTGGGCCTTGGAGAGCCAAAATGTTTCCATTCCATGGACAGTTGCTTTGTTTCTGGATCGTAGAAATACAGCCAGGTTTCATCCATGGTTTAAAAAGTCAGAGTCCTCATCAAAAAGGGTACACAAAGAGCGTGAAGTTGCCACTCTTGCTCTCTTTTGATCGGCATTAGTAGATAGTGCCTAGGATTAGTGGGGTAATAAATCATGTTGACAGGTGACGTTATCTTGACAGCTGTCAATCAAGATAACGATCTTAATGGATTTTTGACGTGTGCTGTCAATCAAGATAATGATCTTAATGGATTTTGATTACTCATAATTTAATTTTTATTCGCGAACGTAATTAAATTAATTATATCATTATTAAATTTAATTAGATCACTATGAATTTGATATCGGAATTAAATAATTTAAATTTAAATATATATTTTTAATTGTGTATTGCGGGTTGCATGCATATGTACATAAAGACGATAATGTTTTAAGATTACGCAATTGAATCAATGATTAAAATACTAATTACACCATCATTAATTCATTCTGAATATAATACGATTTGATGTGGGTTAATATCTGAAGCGTTTTGATAATTCTTTGATCGATTGCATTATTAACTAAAAATTAGATCGTAATGACCATTAGCCCGTGCCAATAGCTCAATAATGATGACGCACTCTATGCAAGCGACTCATCATCTACAAGCAGAGACTTGTTTCTGCATGTATTTTCTTGTTATACCCATTCTCCGAAGTCATTAATCACTAGCCCCACGGCAACATCTCATTATGATGTTTGTCCATTAGCTTTTTGTTATTAAAGACATACCGACGACGCACTTTTTGCAGACGAGTCATCATCTACAAGCACAGACTTGTTTCTGCATGTATTTTCTTGTTGTACTCCCTCTCCGAAGTCGTTAACCACTTTAATTTTTAATCGCGAACGTAATTGAATTAATTATACCATTATTAAAATTTAATTAGATCAGTGTTAACTTGATATAGAATTTAAATAATTTAAATTTAAATAGATATTTTTATTACCGAACAGCCGGTTTACATATTAATAATAATAATAATTATATTTATATACATACATATAGTTACACACATCACAATTCTACACCACTGTCGCCGTCGTCTTCTTCATCCGATAGTGGATAATATCGCTCTCTGACGAAGTGGGTGTAGTTGAATCTACCGCCCGTGAATCCAAGCTGTCTACCTTGGCAAACGAATCTCCGACTTGTTACAATTTGTACATTGCACCTAGCGCAATATACCTTCGCCAACGTATGGATGTGGCCTATCCACATTGGTCCTTTATGGTTTTTTGCACAAAACCGACATATAAATCTTTTGCGAAGATCATTTCTAGACGGGGCCTTCCGCCTGATGGAAAATAATATAATGCACAGATCTAGAAAAAAAGAAAAAAACTTATAAGAAATGAGAATAAATTACATTCTTAAAAACTTACTGTTGGCCATATCGTTCTCAGGAATAACACACGGTACTACGAAGCTGAATGAATAAGAGCGTCTGTATTTTCTAAAGTTTAAAGTAAAACTAATTTTTCAGAGGGATGACAAAGGGAGGGATAGGGTAACGACAGGTAGGTACGAGTCTTACAATTTTGCCGAAAGTTAAATTTTCTTTGTGAGTAACATTGGGCGCCACTATGCTAATACCTTCTCGCAGGTAATCACACAGAGAATGTTAAGTCCTCTAAGGTCTTGCAGAGACAATTACTTATGCACTTAAAGAAGTAGATGATGTAAAGTTAAGATAAGTTTTCTGTCTATACTAACAAAGAAGGCGCCAATATTGCATTACCCCTTTTAAATGCCTGAGACGTCGGTGAGTACCTTTTTCCAGATGATTTAACTAAGCCGACAATGTACATTGTTCCGTACATTTAAATATTTTTGAAGAAATGACTTTACATAGAAATGTTTCACTACCCAGCCACTTAGTCAGATCCCCAAATGATGGCACAGTGACTGTAAGTCCTGTCGCGACTTGCAAAGACGGGTATATTTGTTGTCATACAATGATAAGACAACCTTTCAGTCTAGAGTAATAGAAAAATATGCGCCGGAGTGCATTACCGCAAATAGTTTTAAGTATCTGCGATGGACAAGTCGACGTTTATGGCATCTTTCATTTTTTCGTCAATTTAAGATGACACAGTCACTGTAAGTCCTGTCGCGACTTGCAAAGACGGAAATATTTGATGTCAAGCAATGATAAGAAAACCTTTCAGTCTAGAGTAATAGAAAATAGGCGCCGGAGTGCATTACCGCAAATCTGCGAAGGGCAAGTCGACGGTTTTTGGCATCTTCGTTTTTCAGACGATTTAACTAATTCGACAGTTATTTCGGATACAGATTTCCGTGTATTGAGTCATGGGTAAACGGCGCATGTACCATTTAGCTCTCGATAAATGCCAATAGGGTTTATCTGATTCCTACCACTTTTTTTACCCCACCCTCATTGGTTTTTTCTATATATTACCTTGTTTGCCTATTGTAGAATTATATTTTTTTAGTTTTGACAAAATTGTGTCTGCCGCTACGGTTTGTGATAGTGAACGTTAATTTGTGATAGTTGTGATTGTGTCAACGCAAAATGAATACAGGATTTGAAGAATTTTTGCAAACCCTGCAGATTGTTCAAATATTTACGATGTTCGCGAGTGGTTTTTTTGAAAATTTGAAAATTCTGCGAACTGTGCGGGATCATATAAATAATCGAATTATATATAAGGATGCGGTTTTGGACAACAACGATCGAAAGTCATATGGTCTTTTGTTAGGAAGAATAAGACAATTGGGTAAGTTGATAATAGCTGATATCCTAAATTAATTAATTAATTGATTTAAGAAAAAATTCTAAATAATATTATTATTTTTTAACAGAAATTTTCGAAGCCGAGAAGGACGGGTGCATCAATAATGTCGAGATTCAACAGAAGAATAACTTGGAAAACCAATTTCGCTCATTTATAGAGCATGAATCTCGCATTGCTACTGCCCATCAATCTTCACCTGATGCTAGTTGGTCCAGCGATAAGGCTGTCGTGAATGCGACTTTTTCGAACAATAGCACCAGTAATAATAATTCATACAAAACGCAATCAACTGATGTCGATGAAGAAGAAGCTAGCGTAGTAAATGTATCGACATCGACATGGTCAAAAGGTATGTTGAAAATGAACATTTATTCATAACAGCTAATAATACGGAACGTTTTAGGGGCTACAGAAGGTGACGAAAGTGAAACATCAGATGTTCAAAGAGGTGCAGGGGAAAGAAGCGATACAGGTAATAGAATATAATAACATTAATAAATAAGTGATCATTAATAATAATAACTATTATTATTTCGCAGTAAACGGAGATCACAAATATTTCAATGAAAAAGGCGAGTGTGAGGCGTTCATACGTAAATTTGGGCTAACGGCAAGACGGATGGAATTTTCGTTTAAAGATGTGAACGATGACGAGATACCACAAAATTGGTTGAAGGTATTTTATACAAAAAAAAATAAATAAATAAATATTAAAATTTACGTTTGTTTCAGAATGCGTTTCAAGAGTTACTTGATTATATTACCCGTGGATTTCAACCCACCAGCATGATTGGAGTGGTCATCGAAAATGAAGAATTTCCAGACAAACCTGCCGGAATTTCTTTTCGAAGACTATCACAGCTGAGCGCGGACGTGGTGATGGACATCATTAGCGCTATCATTCAAAGCAACGCTAGCTTTTTCGCTAACGATAAGATGACTATCCGCATAGATGTGATTGATATGCCACTAGGTAGAGGATTTTCCGCACTGGATGGTAAGTGCGTGAATTTTAAAGAATTTTGTATCGCAAAAAACAGCATTTTTGTTGTGGATGTGAACAATTTTTGCCTAGCGGCGTCTCTAATTGTTGCTATTGAGTATACGGCTAACGGTTGCAATAGAAAGGTGCTACAGAAATTTAAAACAAAAAAGGGTAAAATAGATTTGCTAAATCTAGCTCAGGCACTTTGTCAAAGAGTAAATGTTGATATAACACATGGGGGCGGACACGCTGAAATTCAGCGGTTTCAAAATTACTTTAAAGAAGATTATATAATAGTTGTTTATAATAAACGCGACGGAACGTCGGTATATTTTAAAGGGGATTATAATATCAACAAGCCGAGGATTAACCTTTTATTGGAAGATCAACATTATAATGTAATTTTAAGTTTGACTGGTGCATTCGCAACGCGATTTTTCTGCGAATATTGTCTGACGAAGTATTCCCAGCAAGAACGCCATAAAAATTGTCCGTTTAAATGCCCGTGTTGCCTAACGTCGCCTCCATGTAACGACGACCCAAATGTAATAAGTTGTAATATGTGTAACAGGGTTTTTAAAGGGGAGATTTGTTTAAATAAACATAAAAAAGCCAAGACTTGCGATCGTATAAAGCGTTGTAGTACTTGTCACGCCGAGATTACACCAAAAAACAAAAAAAAAAGAGTACTCACAAGTGTGGAAAAAAATTTTGTAACACATGCAAAGAGGATAAGGATATTAGGCACGATTGCTACATGCACCCTTGCAAAGTTACGCGTAACAACAATGAAGCACATTTTGGTAGAAATAATAATTTTCTTTTCATCTTTTTTGATTTTGAAACGAGACAAGAGAAAAAAATTGGTGAAAAATTGTTTCTGCATGAACCAAATCTATGTGTAACGCAGCAAATATGTAAAAAGTGCTTGTCGAACGATGATATGAGCGAAAATTGTGGTGTATGTGGTCAACGCCAATACATTTTTAATAATGAGCCTGTATCACAGCTCATGGAACACATTGCCAAAATGTCAAAGATTTTCGCTGTGACAGCCATTGCACACAACATGAAAAATTTCGACGGAGCTTTTATACTACAACACATTTTTTCGAATATATCACGCTGGCAGCCAAAAGTTATAAAGCAAGGTATGAAAATATTATCGATAACATGCGGTGGTTCGATACGGTTCATAGACAGTTTGAATTTTATTCAGCTACCACTGGCGTCATTTCCTAAAACTTTTAAATTAGAAGGTGGTAAAGGATATTTTCCTCATTATTTCAACACGTTAGAGAATCAAAATTACACCGGAGACATACCATCAGTCGAGTATTACGGTTGTGATGTCATGAAAAAGAACGAACGCAGAGATTTCATGGACTGGCATCGTCGGCAAGTTGCCGATAATTATGTATTCACCATGAAAAATGAGATAATAAAATATTGTGTATCCGATGTTGATATTTTGAGGAGAGGGTGTTTGAAATTTCGCGAATGTTTTACGGAGAGCTGTAATGTAGACCCTTTGTTAGAGTGTATAACTATTGCGTCATCATGTAATCTCGTATTTAGGAGAAACTTTTTAAAACCCAACACAATAGGTATTATACCTACAGGGGGTTATAGAGGTAGGGATCGGCATAGTAAGATAGCGATAGCTTGGTTACTATGGCAAGAGTATACATTGCAATGCCGAATTAAGCACGCTGGAAATGGTCCAGAGGTTCGTTTGCGAGAAAATATCGTGGTCGACGGATTTTGCAGCGAAACAAACACCGTTTTTGAATTTTCCGGATGCTTCTGGCATGGGTGCCCTAGATGCTTTCCCGATTTTGATTCTGAATTGGCCGACAGAAATGAGCTGATGGTTACGCGGTATGAACGAACTATATTTAAAAACGAACGCATCAAAAATAACGGCTATAATTTGAATGTAATATGGGAGTGTGATTTTCGTAAACAAATAACGGAAAACCGGGAACTAAAGCAGTTTGTAGATAATCATTTATTTTCAAAAAACACACCCCTCAATCCGCGCGACAGTTTTTACGGTGGTCGTACGAACGCGTCACAGTTATATTACAAATGTCAACCAGGCGAGAGAATACTGTATTTCGATGTTTGCTCGTTGTACCCGTACGTAAACAAGTACGGTCGGTACCCTGTCGGTCATCCTACAGCCATTCATGTCGGCCATCCAGAATGCGTAAAAGTCGATCTAAACAAAGTCCATGGTTTTATTAAATGTATTGTTTTACCACCTGTTTCGTTGTATCACCCTGTTCTGCCGTACAAATGTAATGGTAAATTAACTTTTCCTCTTTGCAAAACGTGTGTTGAAACCCTGTATGAACAAGATTGCCCGCACAACGACGGACAGCGTCAGTTTACGGGTACTTTCGTTGCAGACGAGTTGCGTAAGGCTTTGGAGTTAAAGTACAGAATTATCGAAATTTTTGAAATATGGGAATACGACACCGTAAAATACGACCCAGAAACTAAAACAGGTGGGTTGTTTTCGGAGTACGTAAACACGTTTTTAAAAATAAAGCAAGAGTGTAGCGGGTGGCCTACATGGTGTAATACAGAACACGAGAAAGACAACTACATTCGCGAGTATTACGATCGTGAGGGGGTTAAATTAGAAAAAAACAAAATATGCAAGAATCCAGGGTTACGTTTCTTGGCCAAATTAATGCTCAATTCATTTTGGGGCAAATTCGGGCAGAGACAAAATCTGCAGCAGACTGCTATCATTGATCAGCCTTACAAGCTGTTCGAAATGTTTGCATCACCCGGTCGTTGCGTCAATAACTTAACCGTTATCAACCCTGAAGTACTCCTAGTAAATTGGGAGCGCGTGGAGGAGGATATATTGGCTTCTAGCACCACTAATGTAGCTATCGCTAGTTATACTACTGCTTCGGCACGATTAGTTCTTTATCATTTTTTGGAAAAGTTGGGACGACGAGTATTATATTACGACACTGACAGTGTTTTCTTCACTGCCAAACCAGACGAATGGGTACCTGATACCGGCGACTTTTTAGGCCAGCTAACCGACGAATTAGCTGATTATGGTCCAGGTAGTTACATTACGGAATTTGTGAGCGGCGGACCTAAAAATTACGCCTATGAATTCTTGAATGCTAACAAAGGGATAATTGAGCCAGTGTGTAAGGTGAAGGGTATAACTCTACACTACTCCAATAATCAAAAAGTTAATTTTAACGTATTAAAATCGATGATTCTGGATAAAGAGGCTCCAAACGTGGTCGAAGTAATCGATAAACAAATTTTTAAAGATAAATTTTTTAATATATTAACGAAAGACGCAACAAAAAAGTATAGAGTAAACTATACTAAACGTCGTAGGTTAAGCAATTCGTACGATACGCTCCCGTACGGGTACAAAGGAGCGCTTTAGTATTTTAGCAATAATAATATGTACATCCCTGGAATAATGTTTTTTTAATTATATGTGTATACATTTTTCTTTTTTTTTTTTTGTACCGTTAAATGTAAGTTTGGATGTTTATTTGTACGTAGTTATTTGCGAAATGATGTATTTACTAAAAATTGTGAAATAAATATTGTTTTTCATTCATACACTTTTTTTTTCGCCGCCGTCCGCGCCCCCCGCCGTCCGCGCCCCGACCGCGCCCGCGCCCGCGCCCGCGCCCCGCCGTCCGCGCCCCGCCCGCGCCCGCGCCCCGCCGCCCGCCGCCCGCCCTCCTCGCCGCGCCTCACGCAGCCCGTGTTTTCTTTGTGTTTGGTGTGTGAATAAAATAAAAGACAATTTTAGAGAAAGGCTAAAATTTATTTAAAATACTGTTTAAAAAGTTTTGCACAAATAACATCGTTTTTTTTGTAACTACTGCTAAACATATTTATAAATTGATCTACATTATTACCAAGGGCGTAATTTAAAAGGAACAATATACAATACTTTCCACAAACATCCGACATCAGATGTTGAATTTGTTTAGTGTTGTAAGTGTACATAAGACTATTCCTCAGTATAAAATTTAAAATAGTCCCCTTAGGATTCCGTCCAAACGAATCAAAAAAATATGAATATCCGTATTTATCTATATAAATACCCACCCAGTGACTGCCTGGCATGAAGTCGGGATCTTCGTTCACAACGATGAATGATGGTTTGCTAACATAAAATGGAAGCGTATTGCTAGCAGAAACAAGAACATGACACCTCTTCAACTTCTGTATCTTCGATAGACAAGACTTGATTTGCATAGTATTCATTGTATATTTCTTTTAGGGTTTGTACGTTTTGTACAGCACAGTTAAAGTTGGTTAAATCACGATGATAGTCACAAACTTTTGGTTCGGGTAACTTTTTCACCGTTGGTATACAGTCAAGTTCGTCCTCTATGTTTACGATAACATTCTTCGGTAACAGTTTAGAAATATACCGTTTTTTCTCTAATCCTTTTACATAAACACAACAATCTATCTCCGACAATTTTGTTAAAATATTAGGTATTTCTTCATATGCGACGCCACCCGCACACCATGAAATACCGTGGCAGTGTTTTGTTACCCAATCTGCTTGCTTCTGATAACTATGCGGTAAAGTTGAAATGTCTTCGGGTGGTTTAAACAGGTAATGTTCTGGTTCTGATTTACGAAAATCAAGAATTGCCAATTCTTTAATGAAGAAACTCTTTCTTTCAATCAAGAAGCCTTGGTAATCAAGAAACAACACACACATTTTTCGATGCTAACAGGTCAACAGCTACACAACAAATAACCATACAGTCCTTCGACGGCACATTTTAACTTCCGTAGTCGATTATGATGTTACGCTTTTTGTCAATTTCTATAACGCTATCAAACTCGCCGTACACTAAACAGTTGATTGTCTCCGTTAAAGCAGTATTAAATCGTACTTCTAAACGTAAGCTACCGGTTTTAATCAGATTCCAATGTAATGGTGACGCTCCAGATAGATCGGGTGTTAGGTCGTACACAGTGATACAATAACCGTTGGGGTAGTCTTCTCTGCGAAGTCCGTTGCCCTCGTTCATAAAATGAATTCCGGTACCAGAAAATAACGTATGATACATGTTGATAAATTTCTTGCTATGTCCGTTAAAGGTGGGTTGTAAAGGTTTGCTGGGTATTTGCTGACCGTCAACACATAACGATAAATAATTCATATCAAAATGTTGAAAGTTAAAGGGGTTTAGTGTAAAGTCCCCATTAAAAGCTCTATTGGAAACGAACGCTACAGTACATCGTTTAGGTAACTGCCCCAAGTAAATGTTGTCAAGTGTTTTACTTTGGACCCCTTGCGGTATTGTTAAAACTTTTATTTCGGTTCTCGTTATAGGGTATTTGGCAGTTGTCATCTCCAAAGCTCTGGCATGAGCTAACGTGACAGTTGGATTTATTTTATTACGTCTTACCAACAGTGTTGCATCCACAATATTCACTTTACCCGTAGTACCATCAGCTCCAATCAAAGCAAAACTGTTCCGAGACCTTACAAACTTTACACGTAGCTCGACACCGTTGATCAGAAATTTTTCTTGATTAAATATATCACAATTTAAGTGACCAATTAAATCAATTTGCTGACTTTTCTTTGTGAAATGATTCCTAGCTTTAAAGCCGATATTTTTTGTTCCATCGGCCGTGTCCATATCTCCTGGTGTATCGATGTACCATAATCCACATGTTAAATGTGATTTTTTGGCTGCTGGTCCGTAATTTAGAAGTGTTTCTAAGTAACATTTATACGCATATGTATTGTTAGGCGGCGAAATTAGTTTTTGATTTAGGTAAACATCGACTTGACTAAACATAGAGTGTAAAATATTATTTACGGGCGCAATGTTAACGTCGTCGGGTAGATTTGTACCATCCTCTTTAG